TGATGAAATTTTCTTAATGGAATGTCTCGGAGCCACGGGACCGACAGCCCATTCGGTAGGGGCAGGCAGTTCTTGGGGGCAAAGATGTTTGTTCTCCCCAGCTTATGTCAACTTCAATCTTGTAGAGGAACAAAGAGTGAGGTCAAATTTCGTGGGTGCAACTTTCTATATGGAAAAGAGAAGAGGGTGGCGGCGGCGCGGAGAGTTTTGTTCGAGCTCCGGCTAGTGGATTAGTCAGCGCGTGACCGAGGTAGTGCCGCGCGACCCACCGACAACCTGACATCACCCTCTAGCTCACTCCTAGAATGGCAGACACCATCCTCTCCCCGCAGGCAAGCGGTGCTGCTACGGAAAGCAATCTTTTGCTCAAATGGTTTGGCATCGAGGCTCCATTGACCACTCCTCTGGAACTACGAACCCCATTTAATCCATTGGCCATTTCTTCCCTAATTACTCCATCGGCCATTCCTCTGGAACTACGAGCCCGATTGCTTGACGCGGCAGCCTATTTTGAGAGCCCCGAGTACAGCGCGTCATCTGGCATTAGTTTGAGCGAAAGGCGTAACCTCTTTCTCTCCGCGACAGCTGGAAACATTAATCTCACGTCTTTGCGTAGGTGGCACGCTTGGAAGGACTCTCTTGTTGCTCTACTTGATGCACAGCTTGCCAGATATCCAGTAGACTCAGGACCGTCGCCTTCAACTTCAGATCCGAGTAATGAGCATGATCTGAATTCATCGTCGACTGCATCTGCTGTTCACCGCGTTTTGAACATAGCGGAACTGGTAGAGCAGATCTTGTACAGTTCGGACCTTCAGACCCAACTGCTCGCCGGCCAAGTCTGTACGCTATGGCGAGCGACTATGAAGCGCATTCTCCAGGACCCTTTCGAAGGTACACCGCATCAGAACCCGGTCGAATACTCCGATGTGTGTTCGACCAACAATGACAACCTTCATGTAACCCCCGAAGAGCTACTTGCTTTCGAAGAAAAGGTCCACGCAAGGTGTTTGATTCTCCTGGATACAAATGGATGGAACATTTGGACGTACGCACCCGCTCGGCTTACTCAATCGCATATGCTCAAGCCATCCGTCGCAGAACTCGTGCGCCACGCATATCGCGTGGCTTGGGACATTAACCCCGCCCCGGACGACGACTTCAAACCGCAGCCGCAGTAGCTGGACTTTACGCAGTTCACGTTGCATCCGTGTCTGGAGCGCCTATACACTGGCGGATTCGAGACGTATCGCGGTCGTTGTCATGTTTACTTAAACAGCGATACTCCCACTGAAGGCCTCCTTCATCCGCTCAACTTCCCGCTTGGGTCCTTATACTCCCATGTAGGATCGCACTTTGTCACCGACCCACCGTGTAGTTGCATCGGCATCTACACTCCGAGTGATCAGTGGCTGGCGGGAACTGCACACAACAATAAGCTAGTGGCCCGCATTTACAACAAGGACGGAATACGTATATCCCATCTAACAAATATACTGAACGCACATGCATCGACAGTACTATTGGATTGGAGGGCCCAAGTCGAACGTATGCGAGAGAACTTGGCCACCCTGCCTCCTAGCGTACTGCAGCTATCATACCCAAGACGGCGTGCATTCACAGCCGGTGCCCGTCCGCACTTTATACTCACGCTCGATCATCACGACATGGATGAAAATCCCAATCTCTCCAAGCATGTGAGCCAACGGCCGTTGCTGATGAGTATGAGGGCATTGGGAAACGAGTGGAAATCTTTGGATATCGCAGAATAATATGTCGACACCAGCAGCGAGTGTTGGGCGGAGTGGACTAGGGATACTTCTGCTGATGATTCTTTGTGGAGCATATAGCACGACATGCCATAAATTCGTTTTTTTTTCCTTGCTATAGACTGTAGAAACTGCTACTACTGCTGCGTCACCTCAACCAGACGGATAAGGTGGGCTCGCTGAAGTCTATATGCTTAGTGAGTAGTGTTTGGAGAATCGATGCACCTCAATGCAAAGTATTATACCACTCGCCGTAGTCTCGGCTGCCGCGAGACCAGCAAAACACGTGGAAGTCTAGATTGGATCTAGTGCGGGTTACGCGAGATTATGTTATCGCATCGTCCAAGCGCCTAGGTGGCGTCTTCTTCCCTAGGTGGACCCCATCACTAGCAAGCGCCCAATCTGCTCTTCAGCCTTCCGCTCCAAAGGGGATGAACAATGAGCGATTCGAACTTCGAACTCCCTTCGAGCACGCGTTCGGACGAAGAGCTCATCTTTGAATGGATCACCGAAGACGACATCACCAACATCACGGCTGAGAAGCGCGCCTGCTTCGTGAAATGGAGTCGTGAATACGAAAACCTACGTGAGCAAGGTGATCGAAGATGCCAATCCGAAAACGTGCGGAGGATACTGCCATGGAAAGACAAAATCATAGCGTTCACCAATCGACGCAGGGCGGACTTTTTCCCGGCTGCGGCACAACCAAGAGCACCTCCACCCCCAGCGCGATTACATTCAGCAGTCGCGCAGCCTGCAGCGAAACGCGTCTTTGGGGTCGCAGAGCTGCGCGAGAACGTTCTTCGTCGGATCGATATCCGTAGTCAGCTCTATGCATGGAGCGTGTCGCAATCGTGGCGGGATACCGTCGAATACATTTTCCAATCTAATTATCACAGCCGTCGCATATACGACGCTGTAGAGTATGGAGATGCTCAAGTCCTTGGAAAGACTCCGGATTGGCTACAGCCCAGTTCGAAAGAGCTCGGAGATTTTGATGAAAAGGTTTGCCAGCTTGAGCGTCCAGGTTTCGACTTATTATATGCACTTGCCCGCCCCTCACAGGCTGTAGCGTTCACCGAGAAGACTATAGATGTTCTTCGTACCACATATGCGCATTTCTGGACAAGGGTCACTGGCACACAGTATGATGATACTAGCTTACCGGTACCGCAATGGCTGGACTTCACCCAATTTCAATTCTCACCCTGCGTCGCCGAGATCTTCGGAGAGCGGTTCCAGACGCAGCGAGGTAGGTATGAGGTCTCTCTTAGAGCAAACGCACCTCCCGCAACTCGGCTGCTAGACAGCCCATTTGGCAGACGATTGAGCAACGCGAAAGCGAACAGATCAAAGCTCTCGGGGCACCCTTACTCGACAGAGTCTAGCAATACAAACTCGGCAAGGCACTGATACCTTTGGACTTGGTGGCGTGGCAACATCATATGGAGACGTATCATCACAACTTAACCAGATGAAAGTCAGTTTCGGGTCCAGCAAGCACACAGTCCTCCATCCAAAGATCAGTCAATACGTCGAGAATGAGGTTCTAGACTTCCAGAGCCTTGGAACGACGGAGTTTCGGCAACGGTACGGATTCCCGCCCAACGGTTTCCAGAGGCCCAATCGTGCGCCAAGCAAACTGCATCCCCAGATTCGGCCTAATGGTAGTTTACCAGTCGAACATTGAGCTAAGCAAACCTAAGACTGCCGAGCAGCCGGCTACTTCGCCTTCAAATGCGACTACAAGTCGAGCGTGCTACCATTAGGAGTATTCCGGAGTATACTCCAAGAAGCTGTCAATGTTTAGCCAAGGCGACGCCAATTGTTGTACCTGTTTTAGCACAATCGTGGCAGACGTCATCTGCGAGAAGATGTGGGTTGTATCAGTTATTATAGCTACGACCGCTCGAAGTTGCAGCAGTACATCGCCCAGACTACGATCACCAAGAACAACATGCGCAATCGAACCGAGAAGTTGTCATCAGGGCCAGAAAATACCGCTGTAGGGCAAAAGCACGATCCTTCCATCGAGAATCCGCTCGTCAACTACGGACAATTACCAGGATGGCGTCAAGAAAACCAATACATCGTCACCAAATACCGTTCCGCCCGCAACTCATACCGCCAATCCATCAAAAGCCTCACATACCTCCACAATGAGACCGGAAACATCTACACCCACCTACTCTTCTTAGTCATTGTTTTGCTTCTTACCACCTACAACCTACCGCAACTAGGCGGCCCAAAACATTGGTTCCCCTCCCCGCGCACCGGTGATTTACTGGCATTGTCTGCATTCCTCGGCGGTGTGGTACTGTGCATGTCGTTCTCCGTCACGTACCACATCGTCCTCGACCATTCAGAATCTGTGGCGACGGCTGGCAAGCAGTTGGATTTTGCGGGCATCACGTGTCTTATCTGGGGCAGTTTGATTGCGACGCTATACTACACGTTCACCTGCGAGGTAGAGCTCATGCGCACCTATATGCTTATTGTAAGCTGATTTGGTGCTACGACATGGGTTGAAAGCTGCTGACGTGAAATATAGTTCACGACTTTTGGCGCTATCATGCTGCTCTTCTTCGCTTCGCCTCTGGCTTCCAAGTCTTAGGCACAGGCCCTTGTAGTTCCGCCTTTCGTCGCTTTTGCCGCCGTTGGTATCTTTCCGCTGTGGAGGGGTATTCAATTGTATGGTTGGGAACGAATGGATGAGTTGGCAGGCTTACGATGGGGGTTGGCTTGCGGCTTCGTCTGCCTGGCTAGTCTGGGTCCCTTTATGGTATGTAGTCGTGCCTTACAACGCTCAACGATAGCTGGACTAACAGAAGACAGACGCGATTCCCAGAGTGCTGAAAACAAGGCAAATTTGACCTGTGGCTCTCATCGCACCAGATCTTCCACATCGCTGTGGTGATTGCTGCGTGTTTGCATTTTGTTGGGCTGATGAAGGCCTACTCGTTCCAGCATATGCACATTCAGATAGCGATCTGCCCCATGCTGAGTACGTGGAAAGATGAGCTCATGTATTTGACATGAATGGAATGATACGCCGCAATCGTATCGGCTTCCAAAGTGCGGTTTGGTGTAGAACCCTCATAACTAAATGCTGATACCAAGAACCCTCCTCTTTGACTCAGCCTTACCGCTATCAGATATGCGACACCAAGCTTCCCCAAAGCAAGATACTGACTAATAAGAAGAGCATGGTCAACACAACACAAAACCCAATCACACCTTCAAGTCTCCGCCACCTAACCTCCTCATCCCGCCATATCAGTACCCCAACAATATTTTCAACACACTCATACCACAGCTCCAGCACCTCCGCAGGAGCACCAAACGTGGCGTCCAAGATGCACTCCGGGCCGTCATGCTTCAGCACCAATCGCTGCGTCTCCCGGTCGCAATACTTCATGACCCACTCAACCAGCAGCGTCCAAACATACACGTCCAACTCGCAGCGCAGCTGTTCGATACTCACAACGCGGTGGCCCGGCGAATGAAGAGTACGATCGAAGTATACCCTCATCAAATAGAAGAACCTGTGAACTGCATCCCTTGTCGTGACTTCTTCATCCTGGCCAAAATCAGCCAGCATAGCGCGTCTTAGAAACCCGTCGTCGATCGCTTGAGTAACGGCGCGGGGCTCTAGGTACGCAACGACCCTCATCGCGTCCTCGATATGGATATCGATTACCTGCGCCGGACTAAACTTCTCGGTGTTCTGAGCAATAGACATCAAATCCAGTTCTTCAAGCTCCATAGCAGGTCGGTACCACTCCACACTCCACTCCTCCTCCTCCTCCTCTAAAACGCACTGACATAGCGGACTACCAAACTCTTCTACCATCTGTTTCACACAGACTCCGTGGTTGCAATGGAGTGTACAATGCGGCTCTGGTGGCGGTACGCTCTTGCGGATGTTGAGGACGTCTTGGAAGGTGGGGAAGCGGTGGGTGTTTGTGTATTCGTTTATACCGTCGAAGAGGGGGGATGGTGGGGCGACGGGGAGGCGCAGGCTGTAGGACGGGATTTGGATGCGGAGGTGTGAGCGTGGAGGTGGAGGTGGTGTGGGGGATGTGGACAGGAAGTCGTCGTCTGTGAACTTCATGATTGCGGGTGAAAGGGTGCTTGATTGGTGTTTGCTCGGGAGAGGGAGTGAAATACAATGGTGTTGGTTGAGATGGTTATGTGGGTAGGTAAAGAGGCGCTGTGCGTATATGGAGTGTGTATTGAGCGCTGTGTTCGAGTTTGCTCGACCACGGATTGATGGCGGTGGATGCACACGGAAGCTTTCACTCTTCAATTGCATGTAACGATACTGATCAGGCGTACGAGACATCCAGTACACTAATTCCAGGTAAAATCGCAGCTCTCCTCGCTGTCACTGCTCTCTCCACTCTCGCTGCTTTCCTCACTCCCACAGCTCTCAAACTCCCACCAGGTCTTCTTCATTCTCTCCGTCTTCATCTCTCCATCCCACCACAAGAGCATCGCAACTACCATCTCCACAATCCCTTCCATCCTATCAAACAGCACCCCAACTCCCCTACTCATCGTTCCCTTAACCCAAGTCCTTCTCGCCAAGCAAAAGCACCCTTTCAACTTCCACGCTCTCTCCATGGCATTATCCCTACGTTCCACCTGATTGCGGAAACACCATTCAGATACCCACCAGAAGATGTCCAGACGCATGACTTCCGTCATCTCTTTCACTAGATCAGCGATGGTCAGAGTGCGGGTTTGGTTCTCAAGGGGCAATAGCGTGATGGATAGGTAGTGCAGCAGTTTGGAGATGAGGACGTTGGCTGCGCGAGTAGCAGCGAGGTACTGCGTGGGGTAGAGTGTGGTGCTCCTCGTGAAGTGTTTGGATCCGCGGAGATATTTTGTGATATCAAGATATCCCATGCTTCGCATCTTTTTGACTAGGGCGGTGGTGGATTCTAGTTCCAGGGTAACAGTCTTGTCATGGCTGGTCATCTCGTATGCTCTTCGGGCGGCCAGAATATCCTGGAGTCGAAGATGCGATATCCTTTCTTGTCTGAAACTGGTGTCTTCGAGGATGAGAAGTCGCCTGCAACATCTGCATGCTTTAGGCTCGATTTCGCGCTTCCTGTCTTTGTCGGTGATGGAGCGACATATGCGATGTTCGCAGTGTCGAATGCAGTGGTCAATGTCATGGCCATTGACTGTGACCTTGCCATTATTCCGCTTCCACTCTTCCCAGTCGTCTTCGTCTTCTTCGTATGCCGGAAACTGCTTCAATTCTCGCGCTAGTGGCTGGTGGGTGAATGGGCATGGCGATGGGCTTCTCGCTCGGAAGACAGTTCTAGGGACACTCGGCTGTGATGGACGGGCGGTTCGAATAGGCTTCTTGGATGCTTTGCGATGTTTTAGAGCCAAATACGATGACGGTGTATATCGCGGAGTGGAATCTTCACCCAGGTGGTCTGGGTGCATGCAAAATGCGTCGGCGACGTTTGCTAGGAGGTGATAAAACATTTTGTTGGAGAAGATGTTGATGGGATGAGATGAGAAGATGAAGTTTACAAGAGACAAGTACATATTATATATGAGCAGAAAACCTACCAGAATCTACGGTTCACTCCATGGTACAATTTGGACCTCTGACTCTACGCGACTATCCATCCTGAACTCTGGTCGGCTGGATGAGTGGGCGCAGCCGACCAACCAGACTCGCTGCATTTACTGTCGTAGCCAATGAACACAACGCAAGAACGAGGACGTACCATAGTTCTCACCATGAATCTCGTTTGGTCAACAAGCAACTAGGATGTGTTGAATTCTCTGCGCTTTGAGCCAACTGCAAGCTGGGGTTGGTCATGGCGGTCTCGTGGAGCGCGCGTACACCGAGCAGACGCAAAAAATACAATTTGATCTGGAGACGAAGATAAAATTTGGCGCTGACTGTGGAGGTTACATCAAGTTGAGAAGGTGTCGTTCCGCGAAGTTAGATGCACCGCGGCAGTGACGGGAGGACGCACTAGACTATTTGCGGAAAGGTCCCCGCCGATCATGACGCAGCGCGATTTCGCATCCCACCTCGCGTGGACTGAAGTGCATCGCGTGCATTCTTCCAGTCCCCCACGATGCCACCGCCCTGAATCATATATCGCACCCTTCGACCGCATCTCCAAAATGGCGCTTCCTCTCAGTATCTTCCTCGGCGGCTGCGTCGTCGCCATCCCTGTTGTGACCGGCGTCGCGCAAGGTGTCGAGCACCAAAAGAAGCAGAATGAAGAAGCCGCCAACGAATCGCGCATGTGGAAATTCAACTGCCTCGTAGCCTGCGACGACCCCGATCCGATAGCGAAAGAAGAAATCGACAATGGCATCCTCGTCGTGCGCCACGATAAAGTCTGGGTCGTGCCGAGGGATGCGGATAACAAGCCCATGTGGCCGGATGGGATAGATGGGGAAGGGAAGGAGCCTCTGCATCCATTTGCAGGCTTTTACATTGCATACCCAGATGAAGACAGGAGTCCGCCGGAAAGAGGGCTAGTCACTACGATCAGCGACGACCCGCCGATGCTGAACTGGGTTTACTGCGACAAAAAGACGTACGAGCTTCGCTACTCGAACCGCACCGGCAGCATCATGCATCATGTCGGTGTCTGGGACTGGACTGAAGACGAGACGCACCTCACATTCGAAGGCTGGGAGGGCTTCATGGCGATTGACGAATGGGATGGCGCCGACGAAGACCCGGACACACCGTGGGGCAAGGAAGGTCTGCGCTGGGCCGTCTACTTCGACAAGGACGACAACGGGCTCAAGGGGAGGCACAAAGGAAGAGACATGTTTGAGATCAGCCTCAAGCGCAGGATCCAAAGTGCTGAGGAGCAATTGAAGCAGAACGAGGCTGCGGAGAAGAAGATGCAAGTCAAGAGTCGAGGTGGTCTGAGTACGCAGTTCGCGGCGCCCCAGAAAGAAAGAGACAAGGAATGGGAAAAGAAGTTCGGCGAGAAGGCGAGACTGGAGCTTGAGAAGAAGTTAGCGAAAGACCAGGAAGAGGGGCAGGGACCTGAGTGGGCCAGAGGCGATGTCGGAAAAGAAGAGTGAGGACGCGGATGAGATGAACAAGCGCTTGACTGTGTCGAATGTGCCGCTCTCGTCCATCAACATGCGTCTTCTACTAAAGGCGCTCGTCACCCGCCCGTGTACGCGAGGCCGTGCAACGACTATCGAATTCTCATCATCCAGAATGCTGACTCTTACAAACCGGGTATGTGCGCTCCGATACTCTTCCTTGACGAGCGCATTGGGTCATGTGTGGCCAATGTAGTGCGTTAGTGGCACCTCTCGACAGTGCGCGCGGTTCACGCTCACATCTAGAGGTCGCGACTCATTGGTGATACCTACTCGACGCAGTCACCTTCGCATCATGGACGATGACAACTTGGACTATAAGAAAGGGTCGGCGACATGTAGACATACTCTCCTCTTACATTCCCAGAAGAAAGAACGTCTTCGTCCCCCAGACTATCTTATCAAAGAGCTACACATTACGATCGCTTCAAGATGTCCGGTAACTCAGACCCTCTGACTGAAAAGGATAGGCTCAAGAAGGCCCGGGATGAATTAAAACTCAAGGGTGGACCGGACCGACTAAGCGCCGCTCAAGCTCTTTCCCCAATCTGGCCGGCAGAACCAAAACGAGCCTTGAAACAAGCTAAAGAATGCCTCGGTCTTGCACTCGTCGATGTTCTTTGGGGCGTCGAATGCGTCTTGTGGGATGGAACTAAGATGGTCCTCTTTACCAGTGTGAAGACTATCGCGGACGAATGCCAAACCCTTTTCGGTTGGAAAGTCGACAAAAAAGACGGCCCTACCTACAAGTACAGCGAAAGTTTCTATGACAAGGAAAACAAGCAAGAGCGAGCGTGGAACCGAGTGTGGCTGGAATGGATCGTTCCCCCTAGCCAGTGGAGCGTCATGTTCATTAGTGGTCTGAACGAAAATAAAAACATAGACAGGTGGCACACTTGTACCGTTCAGCGAGGACGTGAGTTGATCAACCATATCGTTGCTTTGAGGCTCAAAATCTGACGATACTTAGTGTGGTGGGCGATGGAATTGCGGAGGCCATTCGCCGCAACCAACAAAGACAAACCGTTAGATATGAAAGGCCTGCTTCTGCCAAGGAAATATGCTGGGAAACTTCAAACTTGCAAAATCTGGTGCCCCAAGTTCCTCCCAGACGACATAGACGATTGGATTCAAAAAAGTGCTGGTAGCGGTCCTGAGGATAGCACATTTGATGATGCTCATGAAGGGTGGGATATGTCACTCTTACGTCGTTGAGGCAAGACGGATGATACCGGGTGTATACGGTTTAAGATCATTAACACATTGTTTAACACGAATCTTGTCGCGACGAATAATTTTCACAAAGGGAGCTGCTGCCACCACTGCGGCGCCTTTCTTACTGCCAGCTTTCATGACATCTCTCGGACAGCTACCCAGCGCATTCTCGCTGATAGTCGAAAGATCCCAGCTACGCCTCCGTCTCAGCAAAGACCTTTGGCAGGAGAAAGCACATAGCTCCTCCTCCTGCGCGAGCCTCGTTCTGACTACTACCCAAGACGTGTGTGAGCTGAAGTAGTCATCGCTGATAAGCGCACTAGCTTCTCTACGACCATCGTCGGGTGTTGGTATCACGTCTTGGCAGATCGCGTAATTTGGATTGATACGACTCATTCAACATCCAAAGGTAGCCGCATGTATGCGCTTACGACTCACGCAACATATAGCCATTCATCGCCGTTCCCGTCACACGGCACGCTTCGGTCGACTGGTAACGTACCGTGCCGTCACAGTCAATACGATTACCACGCGGTGACTGGTCCTTCAGTACTTCATGTGCGACGTCGACCTTCTCCCGATAGAGATGGGTCATTCGGCTGATAATCATTTGCCAGGCAATGCGACTCACAGCAAACAGAGGCAATCCAGTCATTGTATATGATGGCTCATACCCTTTGGACTATAAATCGGTGGTACTTCGATCTTTCTCTATTCTATAACATTGTGAGAAGCAGTTTGACACTACTCAACCCTCCATACCCAAGTCGCACGCTTTACATCCTAGTCAAAATGCCATTTTTTAGAGAACCTGAGAAGACACTCACCCCAGAACAAAAAGCTGCCTCTGAAAAGTTGGAAGAAGCCGTCAAAAGCTGCCGGCCCACAAAACAAACGCGCGAGGCGGTCGAGATGGCCAAGCTCCATCCGGATATTGCGCTAGTGAAGGATATGTGGAGGGTCAAATGTGTTGTCTGGGATGGCAGGAAGATCGACGCCTGGGCGAGCAAGAAAAGCATTGGAGACGCTTGCCGAGACGCGTTTGGGTGGGAGGTGACAAAAGAAAAAGGCGATTGGTGGTACAAATACACTATGAGTCTCGAGGATACACCTGAGACGGAACACTTCTTTGAGTGGATCTGCCCGCCAGATCCGATCCCGGCGTCTTTCCTGAAGGAGGCCAGAGACAAGTGGAAAAATTGCTACGTCCAGACAGTGCGTGAGTGACTCGTCGTTCCATACATCATCGCATTTATAGGCTCACATAATGAACAGTTTGGTGGTCAATCAAACTAAGGGAGCAGTTTATGGAGACTAATAAAACGGAGAAGCTCGACATGAGCTTGCTGCTAGATGAAAGCAGAGCAAAAGAAGACCTCTTACCAGCTCTAGGGGCTGAGGACGGGAAGCTTCCGCATGTAATAAGGGATTGGCTCGACAGAAGTGCAAAGCCGTGCGCGGCTGAGGGCTCTTGATGAAATTGGCGGACGATAGGGGCATGGCTATTTCAAAGTTTCGGGGCAGAGAGGACTTCCTTTGACTGCATTTGATGTACATTCATGATTTTGTCTAATGCCGAGTTTCTCAATATGCAGACTAGGTTCATACAAACCAGCTGCCACTACAATAGTACCCTACAGCTTCATCCTCTTCCGCAATAGGTCCGGGCTCATTGCCAGGAGGTCTCTTGATCATCAAATCGTGGGCGCTGAACCGGTGCATATGGACCCATGCCGAGCTGCGCGTCTTCGGCATTGCGTTTCAACACTCGATTGGGTCTAGGAATGGCAAACGGGTGTTGGTACGCAGTGTACGGATAGCCTTGGATCGTGTGCGGCACATGAGACGGCGACGGCGTCCAAGGTGTTACCGGCGATGGCTGCGTGCTTGGGGAATAGATTCCGTGCATCGATGGCGTTGGAGTCGGGGCATACGAGGCGGATGGCGAAAGCATGTTCGGTGATAGCATCCCAGGCGAGGGCCGATCGTGATGGAAGACAGGTTGAGGGCCATGATGGTAAGAGTTCCCAGTGACATGCTGGTTGTTCTCGTACTGCCCGCCATTGTCGCCCGCGTACTGAGAGACGGTCTGGGTATTGTTCGATTGAAAGCCACCGACAATACTCGTTTCAACATTGGCAGGTGGCAGAGGCTCCGGTGATTGCAGGATCGTCGCGACATTTAGATCTAACTCTTCCTCAGGTTCGTTAGAAGGCAGGCTCATTGCGACACTTGGATCGAGTTCCTCATCACCGTCCGTGTCTGAGGCTTGATCTTCCGGTGACGTCGTTGCCTTTTTCCCCTTCATACTCACCCGACCTTCTGCGATATACTTCTGGCGGTTCTCATTCTGTCCATTATTCAGGATCGTGCCCGTAATTTTCTGAGGGGCCGCACCCACAGTGGTTTCAAGATTCTCACCCTTGAGCAGCGAGAAGCACCGGCTCTTGGAAAGCCGTAAGAGCGCACAGAGACTTTCTATACGCTCACCAAAGGTAAGGTTGCGTGATGACCACATCGTTTCCAGAGGTGTCGAGTCGTAGATGGAGAATGATTTCGGGCCGAAGACATGTAGTTTCTCAGCGGTGGCAACTAGCTGCCAGCACACCTTCTCCATCTGCTCTTTGTAAATCGCCTTTTTGGCACCTGGAGTCAATCGTTTTAGAAATCGGCCCTTGTCTTGCTTGTCCGGGCAGGTGGAAGTGTCTTTCATTGCTTCTAGTAGCTCGGCGACGTGTCCAGCGCGTTCATAGGCAGTAGTCGGAATAGTGCTGTCATTAGCAGGCGGTACCCAGTCCTTTTCGATATAGCGGTTGAGCATGCTAGCCTTCGCTTCTGCCAGATTCCGGAATTTCAGTCCAAAATGGTTGGGTTGAACTGGAGTTATTGCATCAGCTTGACAGGGTGCCGGTGGGCTGGGTGTCATGTAACGGTAACAGGGGTCGAATGGCGAGTCTACGTCCACCAAGTGTGTTGGCGTATTCGTAGCGCTGGCAGGCTCTATGGAAGAATAACGAGGAGGTGGGGTACCTGCATAATATTGGGATGAAGGCTGCTCGGGCATGGGTTGGCTGTATCCATCGAACCCGTGTTGATGCTGACCATCGTCAGGTGCATATAGAGGAACCTCATTCGGCTGATAGTTCCCTATGCCATAGTCTTGTATGCCAGGTTGAGCAAAGTACACAGGGTCGCCATTGGCAGACAGCACTGCGCCCTCGTTATCCATAGTTGTCTGAAATTGAGCTTCATGGAGCAATGGTATGTCTAGACCTCCAATGCCAAGGTAGAGGCTATCGTCGAATGAATTGTTGCCGCTCTGGTAGTGGTCTTGAGACATAGTGCCTTCGGTGAACAGGGTCGATGTGTCGAGGAGAGGTTGCGAGTATCACCCGGATTTCGATCGGTCGAGTTGAAAGAGTGACTAGCTAAGAGCTTGGGAGGTTGTAAGCTGGTGATGTGTGGAAAGGAAAATCTCACACATGTTTTTAACCTGTCGAGGCGCTTCCGCTGAGTGAATCTCATCATCTTCGCAAGTTTGCTACATGAAGCATCGCGATAGCACAGTTGACTCAAGGGCTATGTTCGCCGATGTTTGCTTGCTGCCGAGAGAATCCATGGGGGAAGTACTGTACGCTGTGAGGCTATGATGAATGCAAGTACAACACTGATACCGACGTCGGCTGGAGAATGTTCAAACGATAGATATGTACTTTCCAAAGGCAGAATTAAATACTGTCGTAAAGTATGTAAAAGAATAGCTCAATCGTTCTGCAAGAGCTTCTGTCACCCATTGGAACCGTGATAGCACTGATGCGCAAGTTTCACAAAAGGCGGCATTGTGAATGGGTCCTTCATTGGTTGCTGTCGATCAGTAGTTCGTTGACAGTGAATTGGGAACTCCCAAAACAGCAGTCGTGAAGCGCAATAAGCATCCTGAGGTACCAAGAGCGCCTTGGCAATGAGATCCATCACGGCGGAGGGCGGAGCGCGAATGCCTTGGTGGTAGAGAGCGGCGGGTGTTGCTGATGAAGTTCCGACGCGTCGACGGCGCGACTGAACGCGTCACAACCGCATTCGGACATTAGCGGCTTGGCTGACAACATTCTCCTCTTCACGGAAGCGACTCCTCACTTCAGCACCTCACATCGCGTCATCGCGTCGACATCCAATCCATCCCATCTACACCCCGTATGGTTGCGCATAGTTGGGATGATCATACGACAACCTCCGATCTCAGGCTCAGCCACCCGCTTCGTCACAAAGAACCCGCATCGGCCAGTACGCACGATCATCAGCATAGCAGCTTATCATTGAGTCAAATTATGCCACCTTCAGGCAACTGCGAACGATCATACAAACAGATATGGAAGGCTTGGGTTCAGAACGCTAATTGTTCTTCCGCCTCACGCTGGCTACCGCTATCTATTACGCTAATTCAGCTGGATGACTGACATTATACCACAAGTTATCTACGAGTTCTTTAACTCGCACTGACGCCATTTTATTGCAAACATACCTCATCCACACGCGCGACTAACCGCTCTCCAACGAACCTCTATATCCTCGCTCTCGTCCGACGAAACGCCAACTTGCTCCGGCTTCGCCTCCAGTCGCTCTTATTACTGGCTAGTCCGATCATCGCCCTTCTCCATCTCGTCGCGTTCGTGCTCCCTCCACAGCTTCCCCAGCTGCTTCATAAAGTCGTCGTCGTAGTATGACCACGTCTCTGGTACCTTGGTGCTTTTCCACTCGAACGTCTCGCGAGTCCTCGGATCCATAATGTTGTTGTATTCGATCGGGCGGTCGCTCTCTGGCAACTTGGAAAGCTCTAATATCGTCAATGCACGGATTTGGCATACAAGGTGGATCGTCTTTTGATAGAGCCTCGATGGTGCCGGGTGGTCGGGCTCATATTCATCTTTTTGGTCTTCCCGCAAGACGACATAGGACCGTTTGAGGACAGCACTATCCACTCCAATCACACTCATGGTATAACGTGATACCGGCCCTTCGTGATCATCTCTGCTGTTCCAACGCCAGAGCTTGATTTTGAAGGTAGAACACTCCACGACAGTCTGTGGTATCGCTACTATGCTGCAATCGATACCTGCGGCGTCGAGCTCAATTATATACGTATACTTATCACCGACACGGCGGGGGCGAGTAATAAGGTTCGTATGCTTATCATCCCAATGCAGAAGTCGAGTCTGGATACCGTCGCATGTCAAACCCCGAAGGCAATCACCATGTTGCTTTACCATACCCGCGGCCTTATTCGCCGCCAGGTTCTGTAATACGTAGCACTCCTTGTCGATGAAGGTCGTTCGCGGAAACAAAGAGTATGCCCTGTTCGAAGTGATGAAGTTCAATGTCGCGGTAGATGAAGCCGCGTTGAGCAACTTCAAGAGAGGAGAATCCATTGAATCCAAGACACAGATGGTCAATCCATCATATTCAGCCTGTGGCTTTCGAAATATGGCCAGGCCCGTCTTGTTGTACTCATCAGCGACCCAGCGTTCTTGCTCCAGGAAGTCATTTATCGGGGTACGGAGGTCCAAGGGCTTAACCTCTGAGTACTGTGTATAGATGTATAGTTCTTGCACGGGAGTTTGCAGCTCGTTAGCAATGAACTTGCGGGCAAAGTCACCGCCAATGATCGCGCCGGTGTTGGCTTGAACTTGTCTGAACGCCTTGGGATCCCCGAAGAAGGTTTTGAGCTTTGTCTCAATGTTTTGGTAGCATGAAGGAAGCCCGCCGCTGAGCGCAGTGCCAACGCCTGTGGATACTTCAGCCAATGTCGCGAACTCCTTCGGGCCGAGGTACGAAATGAGAGTCTCCTGCACTGGCGCTAGTGAGGACGAGAGGAGATGAGAAAGATCCATGGTGGTTGCGCGGGTTGAAAATGGGGGTTATCGTTGCTCTGCACTGTAAATTAATCCGGAAGGCGCAGCGAAGAAGTACCCGCATAGAGGAAAGCGCAGGCAGCAGTGGCGATAGAGGGCTGCATTGCCGATGAATTTGGTCAAAGCCTGCCGATGCGGTATTCACACCAATTTACGCCAAAGGTTGAGATAGTACCGCAGATGCCGCTCCAAAACCGACGCAATCGAGCCAATCAAACGGTGGACATTCGATACGCCAAATATCCGAACGTTTCCCCTATTGCCATGCATGTGGCAAAGTCTCTGGTAAGCAGTTCCACGGCATTGATACGTGCGGAGCTTTTTTGGGTCGCAGGCCGGCTTACGTGTGTTGATCCTACGAAACATCCCATTGGTTGGGTGAATTACCCCATGCCCGGGCAGTGCTCGTTGTGCCGAACCCGAAGGTACGGTTCGCGCACGTCAACGCAATTGGAGAGATGCAGTAATAATGGAGCGCACAGGTATTGGCCCTTATTCGAAGGCTTCCAAGTCTATTGACCTGCCGTCATGAGCCCGTGCTCCGATAAGACAATCTGGGGGCCACCTATCACCAATCCTGTACTCGCCGAGTACATTTTGTTTCGACGACTTACTCTGTGCTTGGCCCCTACGAAGGTTTGTGACCAACGTTGTGGTTACTCAATGCAGCAACCGCTTATTTTTGGATGCATCGTCTTCCTTCGAACTGTATCGTGTTTGGTGAATGGTGGCTGTGTTGGCGACAGTGCACGCCAACGCTGGAAGAGCAATGGATACATAATGGCCCGTAGCCGTTCAGGCATCATTCAGCAAGCACCGGTCTACTATCCAAGATGACTGCCTCTCCAAATACCCTTTTTTCTTCCTTTACTTTCAGCCTGTTATTATCTTACAAACGTCAAGCCAGATTCAGCGGCTGGCGCGGCGGTTTTGTTCTCGCCATTATCGGCTCATCGCTGGTCCTATTCTTCAATATCATATGCGCCATAGTAGCTGCTGCGGCCGGTGATCCACACGACGGCAGTGCTACGATCTACACCGGCAAATGTGTGTTTGCATCGCGTTTAACAACCGGTCTTCAACTACTCGTCAATGTACTGAGTAGCTCTTTGTTGGGTGCATCAAGTTATTGTTTACAGCGACTTGTAGCTCCAACGAGAAAAGAAATCGACAAAGCTCACAAGAGGGGCAAGTCGCTGGATGTGGGAGTCTTGAGTCTGAGAAATCTACCCAACATCAGTAGGAGGAGGCTCGCTGTCTGGATATTGCTCGCTATAAGCAGCATGCCTTTGCATCTTCTGTAAGTGTACGCTTTATGTTCTGAATTCCAATGTATTGACTAGGGCAAGATACAATTCAGTTGTATTTCAGACAACAGCAACGAACGCCATCGACTTCATGTTGACACAAGAGTCTTTCCTCACCACGAGGGGGGGATGGAAGCTCGGAGACGGTGATGATGAGTATGTTCCCTACGTTCAGGATCTCCAGGACAAATTTCTGGACAAGCAGTATCTGGACACATCTCCGTTTGAGAACATTTCTGCCACTGAGTGTATTCATCGCTATCAGATGTCCTTCATAAGGGCTGGCAACCTTGTCGCTGTGGTGGCAAAGAATCACTCCGAGGGTTCAGACAGAACCGACAACAGCTCGCTCAAATACTTCAAGATGGACGTCACAGAGATGTTTTTCGGCCCGAAAGTTATTTCTGATCTCTCGTGTAAGTTCGTTCAGACTGGTAGTTACGTGTCTCACTTATATGTTTGCAGATTGCTTGAGTGAAAGCTCACCCGAGCGGTGCCAAGTACAGCTCAATCAGAGCATCTTGTATATTGTCATTGCCTGTAACATGCTGAAGGTGACTCTCATGATCATAATACTTAGGTGGATGAATCAAGAAACGATCGTTACGATCGGCGACGCGATCCAGACATTCATCCTGGAACCAGATATTTCAACTCAAGATTGCTGTCTCATGACTAGTCACGATATGAAACAGGCTCTTGAGGTAACGGAAGCGCGGAGGATACATCGTCACCAAACCGGCAATCATGTTCGCTGGTACAGTGTTGTCGGCGGCAAGCGCTGGTTTTGTTCGCTTTTTTCGTAAGACTACGCACCTCACTCTTCTTGGTACAACACAGATTCTGACCGACTCTAGATATTCCGTGGTCATCGCTACAGCCCTATACCTTTATAGCAGCATGGGTCGTCGCTGGGTAATGTGCGAAGATCCAGGTGCTTCCTCGTTCAAAGACGACCAAGTTTGCCGGTGGAATGGCTTTGGGAACGTTAATTTCCGTAAGTTCGCTGCAAGTGCCTCATCCGAACTCTTTACCCATTTGCAAGCCTCTACCATGTTCGTGTTGCAAAGTGCTAACTCTGGCGGTATCAGGTTTTATCCTCGATCTATACCTCGGTTCCAAATCCATTGTACCCTACGTTCTTGTGGCCAATGCGCCTCAGGTCATCATATCGCTTCTATACATCACCTACAACGGGCTTTTTACGACGATGCTCGCGAATCGCGAATGGGCGAGCTACGTACATAAACGAGCTGCGCTTCGTGTCACCGTCCCAGCTTCTACCCAGCGCTCTACATACTTCCTCTCTCTGCCATACAAATTCAGCCTCCCGCTTATTGTCGCAAGCATCTTACTGCATTGGTTCATATCGCAGACATTGTTCATCGCACCCATTGCTATTTACAAAAACGGCGTGCTAGAGCCGACATCTCGAGACTGGTTGCATCACGCGGGAGGTTCGGTGACTGGTATAGGGTTTTCAGACTCAGCGCTCATCGCGGCAATTGTCATGGGATGTCTCTTAGTTGTAGTCTGTTTGGCTCTCGCTGGGATTTGTAAATATCCGACGGGCATGCCACTCAGAGGCACGAACAGTGCAGTTATCAGTGCGGCTTGTCATGTAAAGAACAGGAACGGTGGAAAGGCTGAGGTTCTGGAGGATATTGTCGAGCGCCCGTTGCAGTGGGGTGTCACAATCGAGGGTACCAAGGATCAAGCCGGACACTGCTCTTTCAGCGATAAAGCAGTTCAGCAGCCAGTCGAAGGCTGCTTGTACGCTTGAAGGATGGTGGTTTTAAGAGAGCTTTTGCAGAAAACAGGTCATCAAATCGTGTTAATTAGTCAGTTCCTAAGGCAATGTATACTTCTACCCTCAAATTTATCTTGCACATTACGCCGAAGTACACACTAGGTCGTCCACGTGATTTTGCCATGCTCTGGCTAACATCAGGAGACAGCAATGACCTCACAGTACCTCTGACAATACGCTCCCATCAGCGAACCTTGCACATGCATAGGACTGTTCGTAAATATGTATGTGTCCTGTTAAAACCATTCTATCGCTACACTATCCGCCGAAAACGCATGCAAAACACCTACATACGAACCAAATATTATGACTACATTACCCCTTCTGCTCCTCAAACGCCCTTCAATACATCAATGTCTCCGCCAGCCTGCTACTTTCTCTCTTCCTCCACAACAACCATCATCTACGCAGCCGCAGCAGGTTTCCTGGGCTCCAACTTCCTCGGCGCCTTCTTCGCCGCACCCCCATTCCCACCACCACCTCCACCAGCACCATTCGCATTCCCACCACCCTGCTGCCCCAATTTCCTGGGTTTCCTCTTCTGCTTCTCCGCCGCAGCCGGCGCGTTATTCTCTTTGTTATCACTGAACGACACCCGTTTTGGCTGAGCGGATCCGTTTGCAGATTTGTTCGCTGTGGATGGGGATTTCTGTGATGAGGACTTGGCTGGTGTTTGTTGTGTGTTTTGGGTTTGCTTTTGTTGGGAGGGTGGAGTGGATTGCGTTGATGATTGAGGGTTTGCGGGGCCGCGGGTTGTGGGTGGGCGTTGAGAACGGGGCTTGGGGGGTTCTTTCACTGGTTCATTGGACTGGGGCTTCTCTTGCTTTGGCGGTTGTGTGCTGTTTGTTTTCGGTTGCGATGGTTTCGACTGAGAGGTCTTCTGAGGCTGGGGCTTAGACTGCTGTTTGGGTTGACTTGGCGCTTGCTGTGCTTGCTTCTGAGGTTGTTGCTTGGGCTGTGATGAACCTTGCTGTTGTTGCTGTTGACCTCCGCCTCCCCAAGGGTTCATCGCAGCCCCCATTCCAGCAATTCCAGCCCCCGCACTCTTCACTGCCGACGGCATGCTCGGCCTCCAAGCAGTCATGTCTTTCGCGGACTGCGACCAGGTCTGCGGCATCATATCCGGTGCGTCATTCTTCATCTGTTCCAGTTCTTCTTTAGATGGTGCCTGCGTGTCCTTGGTCTGCATAACCATCTTCTCCAAGGCCTTCTTCTGCGATGGCGTCGATTTGACATCCGGGAGGAAGTCGCCAACGACACCCTGAACACCTTGACTTGCCATCTGTCCTAAGTCCCACATTGGGCCGTTCATGGCACCGTAAACCGATCCAATACCTCCTCCCAGCAGCCCAGTCACTGTGGATACTGTGCCGCCAACGAGCGCGCCGGTCAGCTTTCCAATGGTGACACCTGGCTGCACCCCCAATCCGGCACCAGCGGCGAGACCTTGGAAAGCACCAGACTGTGTATATTTTGCCGCCTTTCCGAATGACTCTGCTTCAATTTCTTTATTAATCGCCTTCGCTAGAATTTCTTCTCTTGCTTTCGCGTCGCCCGCTCCATGCGCAGCTTGCCTCAACTCCCACGCCTTTTGTCCCGCCTGGAGCGCCATTTGCGCCGACACGCCTGCATTCTGCTTGATCTCATGTTCGGGGACGTTGCATTGTCCGCCACCAACGTGAACTTCTCCCATGTTTGGTTCGTTAAATCGACTGGCTTCGGTTCGATTTTGTTGTGTTTGTTTTGGTGGTATTTCCTCCTGATGCAATCAGTCAATGTTATTGCAAGTCTAGACAGGAGGCTGGTTTGACGGGTCAACGCTAGTATGACAGCTCAAGTGCGAATACGCTACGTCATGCACGATCGACAAGATCGCCGTGGTTACACGTGTGTGGCCAGCCGACAACCTGTTTTGACCACAGGAACGCGAGACGTAGTTTCTACAGCATGTAGGGTTATCCCTTCTGCGTTCGGCGCAACCCTTCAGTAACAAGACCGATGGCTGTCACTGGCGGTTGTAAGTCGCTGCGCCAGTGTGTCATGACGTCAGCGGCCCGGCGCCAGGGTCTTTCAACTACCAAATTCCTGTCTGCAGTACGCTATGAACGCGCCGCGTCTTTGACAGCGACTCACACACCCACGCTGTTGGTTCAGAATCTAGTAGTTCGACGCGTGCTACGGTGTCGTACATGTCACCCGGATGTCGAATTACTCGCCCAAAATTCACCCTCACGAGTTTCGCCACCGAGAAAGATGTACTTTTTGATTGGCTATGACCGAGTCGATCAAGCATACCACTATTTTACTCCTGCAAGAGATGCTACGCTTTCTTCATCCCATCGCCAATAGAAACAGCGCTCTTTGCACCTCCCTTCAGCTCCTTGTTCGTCGCCTGAATCAACACTCTCCGGTAGCTTGTTAGTGACGGCGTGCCATCATCCGTGACCTCAAGTATGAGATGAAGCAATTGACCTTGAGCAACCGGCTTCTTGCTCAAGAACTCGACCGCGCATTTTTCCGGAGGCGGAAGCCTGACCTCGACCTTCCTGCCCTCATCGTCCAGCTTCTTGATCACAAGTTGCGCAACCTCGCTATAAACCAACCACTGCGTCGCTGTGGGTTCCCGATAATGCCACCACTTGAATGTAAGCTTTCCGCCATCGGGGTCGTATGTAGCGGACGCGTCGAGGGTGACTTTTGATCCGGCCTCAGCGGTGATTTGGACAGGCGCTAAGCCTTTGAAACCGCTGATGTTGATGACGGGGTGGTGGTTTGCTTTTGCGAAATCAGACTCCATGCTCCACTTGATGCGCGCGGCAAAGTCGTTTTGGAAAGCGTCGCGCCAGCGCCAGATGGTCGCGTGATTGGATGTATACGTCCTGTCGCCAACTTTGACCCTGTCCACTACATCGCTGTAGTGATTGCTGTTCAGGCCTTCGGTGCTGATATCAGTCCGTCCGTATCGACCACCCCATGACCCGTAGTTCGGGCAGTCAGGTACGCCCAGACCATTCTGGATAAGGTAGAGGAATGTCGGGGTATCTCCTTCCGGGATGTAGAGATAGTCAGGGTACGCCTTTCCGAGTGGCCCGATCTGAATGTTCTCCTTGATCCAACTCTTCTCCATCTTGGTGAAATCTGGGCCACCTTCATCGAAGCCGTAGTACTTATCGCCGGAAATGCCGGTCCATGCTGCCAAACCATACTGATTCCAGCCGTGGATGGAAGCAATGTAGAATACGTCGGGGAAGTTGTTGCGGATCCATGCACCTGTGTCATCTTGGTCGGAAATGGCATAGACGCGTAGACGTGAGAGCAAGCGCTTGGAGTCTTCAGGTTCGAAGTCGTCGTCTACTTTGAGCAGTGCTGAGGCGAGTGTGTTTGTTCCGCCCCAGCAAAGAATCCACAATGGCTGAGTGGAGGGTGCGACGATACGCTCGTACAGTAATTGCCCGCCTGGAGACAGTGGGATATCGGTGCCGACGGCTGACATGCCGTAAGTCTAGACACCATCAGCGCTACTCACGTGACGTGCTGCGTCTAGCGAATGGAGCTTACCTCGGCGCCCTTGCGAATCAACCCACGCATATGTTGTGCCGTTGGATACTGCCAGTTCGGGTGCACATGCTTGTTCAAGTTGTCGACAGCATCGGCATATGCATTGATAATCTTCCCCATGTCTTCTGGGTGCACTTTGTTCTTCATCCAGGTGCTTGTGCAAGCTACAAGACCCTCCGTCTCAAACTCATTGGAGTAAAGCAGGTATCGACATAGCGACTCGGCATCATCCGGCTCATTCGAGATGTCCGACAAGATGAAAACGCGGGGCTTCTGCGAGTATGTCTGTAGTTTTTCGGTAGCCATGTTGAAGCCGGGTTGTTGGCGTGCTGAGAATCAACTGATATGCAAAAAATCAAGAGGAAGCTTTCTTTTGACGCTGTTGAGCTTTTGAGGTTATCCGATGCTACACCAAACACCCGAAGTTGTGCCACGGCGTCCGAGGTGGGGCTTTGAGCAACGGTGCGGTGTCCTTAGGCACCTCCTTCCGTCTGGAGGAAACCCGGCTATTCTTGCCATCCGCCCGTCTCCACTTGGGGATACCCCTCACCATCTCTTGTACGAAGACGCTGCTGTTTGCAACTGTATCATCGTTCACCCCGGATTCCAGCATGAGATCCAAAATGCGAGATAGCCGTTGCCACGCCGCCTTAGTGCGTTGAGGCTCAGCAGCCTGCGCCACATACGGCTAGACCGCATTAGATAGTAGCTCAGCCTTGCTCCCGATGACGTCTGGAATCTGCCCCGCTTCAACACCACCAGCCACGTTAAAGACAGCAGTTTGGTTCATAATCAGGCGCCCAATAGCCTAAGACAAGGCCATGTATTCGTGCCGTCAGGCCGACTGCCAAGCAGTACCACCATGATCTCTTGCCGTAACGAGTCGATTAGGTAGGCTGTGCTTCGCTGCTTCCTAGATATATAGCATCAGGCTACCTCCGATCGCATTCGCATCACAACTCACAAACTAGTACCCCATAGCTCATCTCATCATGTCAATCCACAACAAGATCCAGCAGGCAGCGCAGAGGAACGAGGAACTCCTCCGTGGCCTTGAGGACACAGATTCGGCGCCCTCACAGCTCAAGCAGCAGAACGCCTACATCGCTGATCTCGACGCGCAAATCAACAACATCAGGAAGCGTGTCAACGACCTGAAACAGAAAACAGCCAGCGAGCTGAAAGACCACGAAAAGTACCGCGACTCGCACTTCCGCCGCTTCGCCCACAAGGCCAGCGGAAAGAAGGAGAAGTTCGCCGAGAAAGCCGCCAAAGAAGAAAAAGAGTACTTCGACGCAATCCAAGAGCAAAAGAGCGCCGAAGACGAACTCGCCTACGCAAAACAACTCCGTGCCGAAGCCGAGACACGCAAGAACGAAATCGCATCGCAAGCCCAACGCCACACAGCGCTCCAAGCGGACCTCGACGCGCTCTACAACTCCATCTTCGCAGGCCACACGCCCGAGTTCCCCGACGAAGACCGCAAAGAAGATGCCTGCAACGCCGCGCACGCCCACGTCCAAGACCTGACCCAACGCCTCGAGCGCGAGCGCCACATCCTCTTCCTCCTCGGGCAGACGTCTGTCAAGCTGTCTGCCGCCCGCGAACACCTCGACGGCGCATACGGGATGTCGCAATACGACATGTTCGGCGGCGGCACAATGGCCAGCATGCAGAAGCGGAACTACCTCGAGCGCGCCGAGAGTTCCATCCAACAAGTGCGCATGCTACAGCAACAGGTCAAGCAGGTCGCGCCTGAGATACCGGGGCTGGGTCAACTCAACATCGCCATGGGTAGCATATGGAGCGACGTCGTGTTTGACAACATCTTCTCCGATATGCAAATGCACGATCAGGTCAAGCAGTCCATCGCGCAGGTCGACCGCGCGGGGAATAAATGCGGGGAGATTATCCGACAGCGTGAGGCGCAGGAGAAGGGGCTGCAGGGCGAGGTCGATCAGGCAAAGGCGAAGCTACAGCATGCGCGGTTGCAACTGCAGCAGGCGCGTGAAGAGGCGTTTAGGAGGGTGCTTGGAGGGCAGCAGCAGAATGCGGGTACGGGAGGCTTTGCACCGCCTGCTGGTGAGGCTCCGCCGCCGGAGTATACGGCGCCGGCGGGTCCTCCTCCTGGGTATTCGGCTTGAGCCGTGAGGTGGTGGTTCATGCGTGTGGCTTGCTGATACGGATGGGGCTTGTGTTCGGCCCGTATACCCTCCATATTCTATGCTGTGGGGCTCGGCGTGACTTTAGTTCTAGTAGCGGTCGATAGAGACTGATTATACGAATGAGAATAGTTTGTGATAGCATCTGGATTTCGGCAATTGTTTCGACTTCGTTCAAGATAAGCTCGCTTGGTTTCTGGAAGGTGAACCGATACGGAGGCTGCAACGTTGAAGGGGGCACGTCAATCGAGAAAAACGCCGAACAGGCCTGCAGCCACATCAACATGTAAACCTACTAGATAGGTGACCTAGCGTCGATGTAGGCTCTAGACCTGTTCAGTTCTTTTCTTGTATGAGGTGGGGTCTAGTGGCAGACGGTTGATGAGATAAATGATAGTTTTGTAATCAAGCACTACATTGGTGAACAAGGCATGTGGTGGTTGCAACTGAGCAAATGTCATGATGAGATGCTATGTTAGGTACTGCTATCTACACCAACCCTCAAATGAAAGCCTCGTCGAGGTAGTTTCCAAAGTTGCTGTCACGGAAAGATGGAGTCGCACTACCAAAATCCGTGTTCTCAATCGCACTCCTCGCCGCCGCCGTCATGCTGTCCCATGCAATCAACGGCTGCTCTCCACCTTGAGTCGTAGTCTCAATCAACTGGTGGTTAACCGGGAAAATGGACCTATACCCGATCCTCGGCCTGGTACCAGTGAGACTGGGGTTGGTAACCTTGTCGTAGTCGCCGTGAGCAGAGATGGCGACGCCGCGGATGGTGGCGGTGGTGGACTGGGCAGACAGCCAGACGACGACGTTTTCCCAGTCGTGGCGATGGCCGAGACCAGGGCCGGGGCTGTCTTTGGGCATGTACCAGGAGTACATAATGGCGTAGGCGCCGTTGTGGGCGGTGGCGCGGGCGTAGACTTGGCCGGGGGAGGAACTGCACCCGCTGTTTGAGGCGCCGGTGGGTTGGAGGCCGCCGCTGGAGGGTGTTAGAAGAATTCACATTCTGGATTAGGGTTGACTTACCCGGTGTCACCAGCGGCGTTGACGGCGGGAAAAGGAACACAGCCGTTTTCGACTTTGAGGTAGGGCTTGTATTTCAGCATGAGCTGTCCTACAATGCCAGATGGGACTGTCTCGGGGAAGCCAACAACAGCATCGTGGGCGATGACAGCACGGCTTTGGAGGTTGATGGGGGAGGCCAGGACGACGCTCGCGGCGGCAAGGAGCTGGATGGCAATGTTGAACATTTTGACTTGTGCTGACAGAGAATGGATGTAGGAATGAACGGCGAGGGGCGTCAAGCGAGTGACAGTCTTTGAGCCGGGAGACTGGCTTGATCTTCAAAAGATGGTGGCAGCTGGTGATTTATACGATGGCCTCGGCGTTGTTCAAGTCGTACGGCTCTTCCCGATATCGTGCTCACTGAGTCCTCAAGTCTCTCTCAATCCCAATGGGGAAGTTCACGATACAGACTAGCAAAAGCGCGATACGAGCAGAACCGTGGGAAGCACACAAACAGCGCACATGCCCTAATATACCACCACCAATTGGCCGTTTATCCAGCTCCCTTGGACGCATAACAACGTTTCCGACGTTGTCGCTGGGGTACCTGCAGCGCATCGGCGTCCGGCACGGGACGATTCAGACGTTGCATATTCTACGCCCGGAGCAAACATGCGTGAAAGGCAACGCAGGATGTCGATCGACTAGATTGGGAACCACGACGGTTGCATGCCGGCGAATAAGGAGAAAGCGCGTGGCTGATCGCGTCCGAGCCATTGGTGCTTGGCCGAGACTAGGCCGAGTCCGCATCAGGCAGGTGCAGGGGAGGTGAATGTGACATGTTGCAGTCTGGAGAAACAAAACGAGAAATGCATTAGATTCGTGGATTCATGCTCGTGGGCTGCCGAACGTGAGGAATTGGTGTGGAGTGATTGGACGTACCTGCAGTCACGGGGGAGAAAAGGCATGATCTCGGGTATCGAAGATTAGATTGTATCTCGCAATGCAGTCAATCATCCGAACTGCCTCCAGACAGTGTTGCGCCGGTCTTTTGGTGGTGTCTCCGGGCCTGGCATTAGCTCGCGCAGCAGGTCGTTGATGTCGAGGCCGCGCTCTTGACAATCATGCCATTGCCGTGGGTAGCCCAGGCTGACCTCTTCAAAGCGCGTGCTGTCTATCCAGTCTGTTCGCCTGATGTGGAGATGGCCAGAGACGACGACCTTTGCGTTGTACTTGTTGTGCCAGTCTTCGGTCTTCTTTGTGCCGCACCAGAGTGAAAAGCGCGGGACTCGGAACAGCTTGACTAGGTCTTCGCGCAACGGCCAGTGGCCTACTATGATCAAGGGGATATCTGGGTGTGATGCGACAGCAGCGGCGAGCTTCTTCTCCGTCTTCTCGAGAAGCGCATTGCACCATTCGATGCGCGACGAGTACGGGTCGGGATGCAGGAGGTGCTCGTCGGTCGCTTCTATGTCCTTCTCTCGCGCCCACTCGAGCGCATCCTCTAGCTTCACATGGCTAGGCCGGAAGCTGTAGTCGTACAGCGTGAAGATGGGCGCAATGAGACATGGACCTCCCTCGCCCTCCCACATCGTGTATGGATCCTCTGGCGTGATTATGCCATACTCCCGCGCAATCGCAACGCACTCCATGTATTTCGCCTCGCCCCTCGCGCCGTGCTCTTTCTCTGAGGGCAGCGTATACAGCTCGTGATTGCCTGGCACCCAGAACACTTGCCGGAAGCATTCCTTGACCTTGGTGAAGGCGAGCCGACAGTGCTCCGCCGACTCGCCTACATCTCCACACAGTATGAGGTCATCGTGCGGGTGCGGCAGGAGCTTCTCGAGAGCGTCGCGGTTGCCCTTGAAGGAGAGGTGGATGTCGCTGATACCCCAGAGGCGGCTCTCTGGGGGCGTCTCGGCGGAGGGCGGGGAGCTCGGCGGGGTTGACGTTGTGTCGGCGGCGGCTGCGGCTTCGGCGGCGGCGAGAAGAGGGTCCATGGTAGCGGCGACGGTTGACCGCACAATAGCGACGCGCCGTGACGGAGGTTATATAGTGACAATGTCTCAAACGGACGTGTTGCAAAGAAGTAACTACATCATAGTTCTTTCTCCGACGCGTGTCCGCCGTTTCGACGGGCTATTATTATCGATTCGCACAGACCAGTAAGACGTCAAGCTCGTATCAGGAAAGAACTGTTCATTTACCAAGTCTCACCTATTCGCTGAAACTGTTTGCATCCAACATACGTATAGCAGCCGTGTGTCGTCGCGAAACCGGATCCCCGCGGTCTACCGGTTGAGGTTGCGAGACGACTACACGATACCTAGGTACGCTGGCTTTAGAGTTTCACTACGGCGAGGCTGACATGGTCACTGCATTTACTGGAAGGAACTACGCAAACGAATTGTGAACACCGCGGATACTTCAAAGCATCGCGCGCAATGATAGATCCAGAATCTCGATATGCTAACTCATAGCTATAGCCGCATCGCCTAACCACCGACGTTGTTCTCGTCGCTCGCGACCACTCCCTCCGCTTCATGTTCGCATTCTGCTGTCTTCTGACCTTCATCCTGGACCCAAACCTCGTCGCGACTCTCCCATGCATCATTCAAATCCGCCAGAATCTCTTCGTCGTAGAATGTCCATGTGGCTGGGAGTGTGAACCCCTGAAGCGTGAAAGTATCTCGCACGTGCTTAGCTTTCAATTCTCCTCTCTCGAATTCGTAATATGCCGACGGACGTTCTGCTCCTGGTATCTTCTCCAGCTCGACCCGTGTCAAGCGATCCAACTTCTTGAGAATAGCATCGCATTTCTTGTTCATTACCGAAGGGCCAGTACCTGGTGGTATCAGGTACCGATACTTGAGGACTGCATGGCTGAGGTCCTCATATAGCTGATCATATCTCGGATATTCATCCTTGCTGGCCAGCGGATCGGTGAAAGCACTGTATACAAACGGTGAAGAGGAACGTCGAAGCTCGAAACTGGAAGACTCAAGTATGGTGTCAGGCGTCTCAGGTATTGCGACACCGGCAGTGTCGAGATCGAGTATCCAGGTCTGCGAATCTCCTATTCTGCGCAATATGTTGCTTGGCCCATCCATTTCCACATCCAGTACCCCGTCAGTCCAGTAACTGTTCACGTCTTCTTGTAGGTCCTGTGCCTTCGATATATAATGCCGAAGTTCGTCGTCGTCTGAGCCAGTCAGATGACATGTCTCTTTGACGAAGGCCTCGTAAGGGAACATCGTATATGCCTTGTTCCATGTCAGGAAGCGCAATCTATGGGACTCTCGACGGCAGTACATGTGCACCTCTAATTGGTTAGTGTCCCAGTAGCGAAGCTCCACGAGCCTCAATTCCCCGTCGACACCTAGCTTCTTTGTGCAGTAAAGGCCCTCACTCAGGTGCGGCTCCTGTGGAAATGGATCATAATGTACAAAGCCGTCAGAAGCCAAGTAATCAACTAGCGGTGCCATACGGGTAGCTTCAACCGCTACAATCAGTTGCGTACACTCGACTTTCGAGCGAGCAATAAAGCTTAAGATGCCACCAGCGTTGAACATCTGGTGGCAGTCCTCCAGAAGAGCGCCGCATTCTCCCTGAACGGACCGAAATTCCCGAGGGTCTTTGAAGAAATACCGAAGTTTGTGGTTGATGTTGTAATCAGAAGCCATGAGCGTCGGCCACAAACAACCAAAAGCCTTGCAGGTGCAGGTGAGCCTTGCAATGGCACCCGGATTGAGATGATCGAGGAGAACGCGTTGGATGGGCGCATACCGAGGACTGAGCAGGTCGATGAGGGAAATCATAGTTGTTAGATGGTTGGTGATGTAAGAATATGCTTATAAGTGGATATAGAGCGAGAGAATCAGGAGGTTAGGGGCGCCCATGATGTTATATAGGCTTTTGGTATTGATTCCTAAACAAGACATCACATGCGTGATAATCAATAACGCCGTCAGCTTTTACGTTCAATTAATATTCGATCACGTAGCTAAAAACGCAGTGTCGTGTCACAAGCAATTCGCTGTTGTTGTAGTGCTGCTACGATCGCACTTTCCTCTTTCAGTCGAATTCTTCATGACCGTAGTCAGTGTGGCAGGTGCGTCCACGGGTTGGGCGGGTACCCTTATCTGCGTCTCCTCGTCAACACTGGCGATGAAGGTGAGAGTGAGCTCTCGATTCTCTAGCGTCTTGAGTAAAGTGCTTGAGCCTAACAAGACTTCACTCTCCAAATCTTTGAAACAGCTACCACGTCTCTATTTCTCCAACACTCCCATCATTCAAGACTACATACCATCATCGTCATCGCCATCATCATCCTCATCCTCAACAATGACAGCCTCACCCTCTGCAATGCAAACCCGCGCCGAGAACGCCGAAGCGCGCGAGCGCTACCTCAAAACTAACCTCATCCGCTCTCAGAAAGAGCTCGCGCAAGCGAACAAGAAGAACGAAGACCTCGCGGCAAAGCTGGAAGCGGCGGAGGAAAAGCTTGCAGAATACAAGCAAGCTGAGACCGACCGCGAGAACGAGCGCAAGAAGGTTGAAGACGACGAGAAGGCGGCGCACGATGCTGGAGTTGCTCGGTGGAGGGATGCGGCGGCGTCTGGGGCGAGTTTGAGCGAACAAGCGCAAGCATACTATCGTGATATGGATATGCCTCCCGAATTGAGCTTACAGGAACAAGCGGCGCTATGGATAGCCAAGCTCGAGCAGGAGTCGAAGAGTTGATTGGATATGTTTTCGCGTTCATTGTTCTGTGTAGTAGTCTAAACTGGCTCTTTCTGATAATTCCATTTAATTGTCATCATAAGCTATCGTCTAACACTACTTTAATCTTATGGCTTGTATTTCACTATACGGAGGTAACATGCTACGCCAATCGCTAACAACAGTCTTTACGCTCAGAGTTCAAGATCGTTAATGTACATTTGAGTGGTGGTTAACCTGGTTAAATGTTCCTTCTTTTTCAAGACGATCGAGCAGCGAAAAGGGAGTGTCGCCCAGTCATGGAAGTCACGACTAACACCGCTCTTACTACCGTTACGTTAAATTGCATTGCGAAGCAGCGCACACGCTGGGTGATGGTACACGAAGACTCCAATCACGCAACCTCTATTGTTCAATCATGGGAATGGTCATCGTTTTCAAACATTATCATTCATGCTACATGGACAACCATGCCACATCGCACGTTACTATCATCCATCCATCGCCATGCCAAAAGCTTCATAAACTAAGCCTAACCCCCTCTCTTCTCCTGTCCCATGTCAAACACCCCCTTCATACCGGGGGACAGACACAAGAGACCGTAAAGCCATGCCATGAGAGGAGAAACACAGACAAAGCTCGCATACATGATATAACCAAAAATCGTGGAGAGAACCGGGGGAGAGCAGGAAAAGAGTGATTAAGGAAACGCAAAAACGCCATCATGACACAGTTCTCATCACCGTCTCACCAATCCTTCGCAAGCGAGGATTGTCATTGGACGGAGATGTTGTTCCTCAGACCGCTAGGCTCGGGGCCCTTCTTGTTGCGGCGGCCGAGTAATGTCGAGCTGTCCATGTTGAGCTCAAACGCGCCCTTGTTCCTGACTTGGCGCTTAGCCGCGGCCGCAACAGCTGGGGAGTGTTGGCCGTAGCCGCGTTCTTGCTGGCGCGGTTGTGCTTGTTGTTGCTGACGGGCTTGGGCGGCAGCGGATAGTGTGGTGTTGCGCATCTTCTGCTCCATGCCGGATACATCGGCACCCTGAGACTTGGGAAGCTTCGCGGGCGGATGTTGCGACGCTGGGTCGTATGGTGCAGACTCGGCGGCGTACTCGTCATCATCCTCACCTTCGTCAAGCGCATTGAGCGAGTTCATGGCGTTGGCGCCGCGGTAACCCTGCTTGAACTGCTTCTTCCGCTTGCCCTCCTCTTCTTGTCGGTGTACAGCGTAACTGACGTCGAACACTTCTCGCAGGTTGACGGCTCCAGGCGAACGGAAGTCCATGCGGCGGGCACCCGGTGACTCAAGGTGGGAGAAGTCTGGCTGGAGACGCTCCTTCTTGGCGGCGGGTGTGGCGAGCGGTGGTGCGTCGTAAGCGGAGTAGGTAGGCTCGTCGGCTTCACGTATCCATGGGTGGTTGAGGAACTGGTTGATGTCGTAGCGCTTCTCGGGGTCGACTGTCAGCAGGTGGGAGACGAGATCCTGTGCAGACTTGGAGATGTCGTCCCACCATGGTGACAGGAATGTGTACTGGCCGCGGGCGACCTTCTCTGTGAGGGTCTGGATGGACTCGTCGTAGAACGGAGGGAAACCGCAGAGCAGCGTGTAGAGCACACAACCAAGCGCCCACATGTCGACAGACTTGGAGTAGCGCTCATCCTTGACAATCTCAGGGGCGGTGTAACCGACAGTACCACACGGTGTCATGGTCTGCGTATCCCAGATGACCTTGCTGAGACCGAAGTCGGCAATCTTGATGAGGCCGATACCACCGGCGCCCTTGCCCTTGACGAACTCGCCCTCGTCGGCCTTGTCTTCATCGTCCGGTCCCCGCGGCTTTGGGTTGCGGGTGGGGATGAATGGTGTGGGGTAGAAGAGAAGGTTCTCAGGCTTGATGTCTCTGTGAGTGACGTCAGTAATTATGCTTGGCATCGTGACTGGCATCGATAAGAACGTACCGGTGGACAACACCTGCCTCCTCGTGCAGATATTGCAGTGCCTTGGCCACCTGGATGATGGTGTGGCGGGACAGGTCCTCGGAGAAGTACGTCAGACGGACGATCTGGTGGAACAGCTCGCCTCCGGGGCACAGCTCAAGCACGATGTAGTAGTACTGCCGCGACTCGGAGAAGTCGATGAGCTTGACGATGTTGGGGTGGTCGAGCTGGCGCATAATCTGTACTTCCTTGAGGATGTTCGCTCTCTATAGGGCAGTTAGTGTCTGCCCTTTAAGCCCGTCGTGAAGGGGGATGCTGAGTCGAGCATCGGGGGTTATATTATCGCACCTCGGCTGCTTTGGGCGTCTTGAAGTCCGGATGCACATGCTTGTCCTACACCGGCCTCGCGTTGGTAACGTCCAAAAACACCCAACTGTTCAACGTGTAGGATAGGGGTGACTAGGAAATGGGCAAGGAGGAAGAGGGCAGGAGGGGTGATACTAACCTGCTGTGAGTTCATCTCGAACTTGCGGACGACCTTGATGGCGACCTCGTCCCATTGGCCGGTCGTGTCTCGTGCGCGGTAGACGTTGCTGAAGGCGCCGTCGCCCATCTTCTCGAGGAGCGTCCATCGCTCGAGGCCGGGATACCTCGGCAGCTTGCCCTTGGCCTCGCGCTCCTCTGCAACGATGCGCTCAAGTACTTGGGGGTCGACGCCGGCGCCCTTGGCAGCGGCCTGCTTCTTGTGCTCCTTGCCGGCGGCGTGCGCAGCGGCGTCGCCTGCCTGGGCGGCAATGTTGCGGTTGTCGCCAGCGCCAGCGCCGACGGAGTAGTCGCCATGGGGGGCAGCGTGATTCTGGAGCGGCTTGTGGTCCATCACCGGCTCCGAGATGCCATGATGTACGGGGTCCGGGTGCTGGTTGTACCGTTGATGTTGCGACTGGGCGTGGACATTGGAGACATTGGTCGTGGGCTCCGCGTTCTGGCGGGCCTGCTTGCCATGGCGCAGGAAGTTCTTAAAATTCTGTATCGCGGCCATGTTTAGTGTCTGGACGCTGAGATGTATTACAAAGCCCGTCGATAGCGGGGTCGTCGAGGCTGCGATGGAGAATGCAAAAAACAAGCGGGTGCAGCCGTTTGTTGGGGCAGAGGGCAGACGGGCGGTAGCACGGCGGGAATACTCGTGTGGTGAGGGGAAGTCAGGGAGAAGCGCTGGTTGGAAAGAAGGTCATGCATGGACGAAGGAAGGAGTGAAGCCGGAACAAGAGAGGAGCGACGTTGCGTCATTGGCGCACGGGCTTCATGACGCTGCAGGCTACATCATCGCCAAACAAGCTGCACCACACGCACACGATATGATGCGTGCTGCTGCCCGTGGCGCCTCGAAGCTCTCTAGCCGTGGTGCATGCAGAAGAGAAAGGCATCGAAATGTGTAGAAAAGCATCTCACCTCGATGACTGGGAGGCCCATCTTCTTGCGTCCGCCGCGGGGAGACGTGGTTTTGGACTGCATGTAGCGATTCGATCTCGATGATCGCCTTCGTTTCTGCTTATTGACTCGCTCTGCGGTGGAGGTATGACGCTCGTTTCTGTTCCGCGTCCCGGCTGGGAGATCTCGTGGCTGCCGCTAGCACGAGCAAGGGTTGGGTTTGAGGGCGTTTGGAATTGGAAGGATTGTTAGATCGCGATGGGTCGTGATGGGCAGGAGAGGCGAGCAACGGCGGTGTCAAGAAGAAGAGGAAACGAACTCTATGTATCGTCTCTAGATTATTTGTCTTTTGCTTGGACGAGGCCACTGCGCTACTCCGCGCGAATACTCTTCAGCAATAGTGGCAGACGCAGACGCCCGCGGAATCTCCGGCAGCCTCCTCCCAGCTCCCAGTAGACTCGCACAGTCGAGCCTGGCTCCATCTAGAGGCTGAGAGGCTCGCTAGGGACGCTGCCGCCGACGCCACGCTGCATGCAAACCTCACTCCGACCTTGGAAGAGGGTCCCGAGACGGCCTGAACGCAGCCCAATGACCGCATATAAGACCAGGGCATCCGTCAGGGTACACATATCGCAATCTCATGGCGCATGCGTCCTCCCAGCGCGCCCGCAGTTCTAATTTCTCGCTCTTCGCGTTTCCAACGGCCTAGCAGCCTGCAGGGTCCAGCTAGCGCGGCGGATCCGTTACGTCACCGTCTAGTGGGGAACTTCATTGAAGACGTCAATTTCGCCCTCTCTCGACGTCTGGGCTGAAACACATATGCCGCTTACGGCGTCCAGAAGAATTCATGTAGATCGCGTTGGGCAGGCCACGAGACCTTTTCAATAATGTAGGTAGCTCTAGTCTCGGTCGCGCCGGCCATGTCGGCCCAAATCCAAGGCCTTGACGCATGGGATTCGGTCCGCCCATCTATCATTGCGCGTTCGCAGGGTTTTGGGCGGAGCTGACATGGGGACTGACGGGGACTGACATGGGACGGGGCAGGCAGAGTTCTTGGGGTCAGGTTTGTCATATTTGGATCTGATAACTAATAGACCCTTTCCCACGATATCCTCGTGGCAATCATCTGGACCCTCGTGGCATGACTAATGAACGTGGCCAAGCGCGGATGGCAACCACGTGCCCGCCTCGCTACACCAAGAAAACAGCGTCATGTCAGTCAACGTTGGATGAGGAATGCAACGAGTGCAAACGTGGAAGAAAGTTTACCGTATGCGCTCAATGTCACTAGTGAGCCGGTAGCCGTGAGAAGATCAGGGTACAGCCGGCACGGAGACAGCAACATCCCGCACTTGGCAGCGCCTGAAACGCAATCGAGTCCACACGTAGCTGACGGATCCAATCTCTCCACATACCACGAATAAATCATACGCTATAACAGGGTATGTAAGATGTCAGGCATATAGAACACGTGTTTGCATAGCTCTGACACCGTACCTAAACTTCAATTTGACCTGCTTTACACAACCTGTCTCCCAACTACAGCGCCTCACACCTCTCACACCCACAATCAAATCCCCATGTCTTCTTCAGCCTCAACATCCTCTTCCCACGACTCAGTTTCCTCTCCTCTCCACTCAGATACGTGATGCACAACTCCTGCCCGGCCTTGATATCCTTCCCAGCGGTAAAGAACCACGTCCTGCCCGCCCTCCTCTTCTCGATATTCGGACCGCACGAGTGGTTGAAGTAGCTCGCAGCAGGCCAGCAACCGTATCCAAAGAACTCCGATCCGTCATCTTCGAGAGACCGAATGCCGAAGGAATTGTGCGAGTCGCGGGATGAGAGCGTGATGAGGGATTCTGCCGTTACGAGAGGGAGTAGTTGAAGTGGAAGAATGGCGAGGAGGTGCAGGTAGGTTCTTGTAAAGGCGCCGAGGTCGTCGGAGCTGTGGTAGGGGGTCTTGTCATCTGCGAGGGCCTCCACTCGTTCCCATTGGTCGGGGTGGAGATACCGCCAGACCAGGCCGCTGACGCAGAAGCTCATCACGTCGGGCGTGATGTTCTGCTGTAGTGCCTTTTGCACGGCCTTTTTGTGCTGCTTCGTGACAGAAACTCCGGCGGTCTGCTCGCTTTCCCGTGCAGTTCGTATCAGCGCCGCCTGTGCAGCGACGTTCTCCCACGCCTGCTGAATTTCCTTAACCTTTGGGCGCGGTAAGTCGGTGTCCACCATATCGCTATCCTCCTTGCTCCGCTTCTTGACGAACGTCTCGACCGCAGTCCATGCCTGAACTCCGACCTCGCCGTTCTCCTCCCGCCACTTCCCCTGGCATGCTTCCGAGCAGAAAGCAAATCCCACCGTCTTATCCCGTATGTCCAGATCCCGCCCGTAATCGTATCCGAAGCATTGCCCACACACCTCACGCCGGTATTCGCGCAACAGAACGGAGAGGGAGAGGTCTTCCGAGCGCCACACTATTGTGCCCTCTGGTATATCCTGCGTAGCGAAGACAGCGCGGCCGGCGGTCGGTGTATGGCGGACTTGGAAGAGGGAAGATATCGGTGCGCCCGCTGGCAGATCGCTCGCTTTATCGTTCGGCGTATCGTTCGGATGTATCGAGGAGGCTGAAGAAGGGCGTGAGATGCTGAAGACCGAGTCACTGGCTACAGGGATAGACGAGTCGCTTTCGGTGGCGTCCATTGTAGCAGTGTCGATGGGATTAGCAGCACGGTAAGCGGCAGGTGAGTGAATCGTTGGATGAATTGACGCTCCTTTCAGAAGTCAAAAAGCAATGCTATCGCCGAGTCCACAGCGTATACGGTGAAGAGACTACACCCCTCTTTGTCTATTCGAGGGTGGATGGCTAACGGTCGCGCGGGCTGTGGGTCAGTTGCGTATATCACGTATACTCATGCCAGAATTGAAAGATCGGAGGAAAGCCATTGTGGGTAATTGGGTATGCGGGTGGATACGTTATCGTGACTGTTGATTGACAGAAGGCGAGAGATTTTGTGTCGGTCGTGCCTGGCCAGACCGATCTTTGGCCGGGCAGGGGTGATGGCGCTAGTGCACGATAAGCGAGTCCCTGCTTTTTGCATCCAGAGTCTGAAGCCTCGGCAGGTCTGACACCACGAGGCGACGTTAAACGTGGTGTTTATAATGCTCACGATGATCTTTAAGTGTATGCAAATAGTGATCCCATTAGAAGCAGCTATGTAGCTACCTTATGAAATAGCCTCCTTCCTCGTTGAGGTCTATCGTGCCTACAGACGCAAGAATCGCCCATCTAGGCAAGCACGACTACGCGAGTACAACAACATGAAACCCCGCCCTCCACAATTTCTAAACGTCTTTTTCCAGAAATCGGTAGGGATGAAGGGTTAGAGAGGAGCTCTTCGAGTTAAATCTGAAGATTGCTAACCCCTTCATCGAGTGTCGGCGGACGTGCCTCCCTCATGCCAATCTTCTTATCTTGTCTCCTATTCGCTGGTTTGTGCCTGCAACATGCGACGAACATGGCGTGTCCCTCAGTCCTCATCAGGCCGTCGACAGTCTTCTTCGAATACAGCAAGTCTTCAATCAACGCATCGATGCGCTGCGAAAACGTCAAGTGCCTGTACTTTCCCGCCGCCTTCAACGCAGAGGGGTCGTATATCGATAGGCAGATCGGTCCTTGCGTATGCAGGCGTTCTGCGAGATCGAGAAGTTCCCAACATGTAGCCTCCATGCTAACGAGGGAGTGAGGCAGAGGTCGTTGGCCGTTTTGAAGTGGCTGCTTCCAGCGCTCGATGAAATGTTTGGAGGTCTCTGTTGTTCGGCTGACGTCTACCATGGCCCGCCTCATTCGGATAACGTAGGCCCCGCGCTGAGCGTTGGTTTGAGGGATTGCCGTGTCATTGCTGGGTGGATGCCACTTGATGCCGCGGTTGCGCTGGAAGGCTTGGGCTTCGGCGCCGTTGCTAAAAAGAGTAGGGCCGCTGAAGTCGTGTGGTACCGGCCTGACCATCTTGTGTTGTGTCGCACGGAAGGGTTGTTTTTTATGTTGGTCAGATCCAGTGGTGCCAATCGAGCTGGTGCTAGTTGTGGTGGAAGTTGGCACCGTAAGAAACGTAGGTTACGAGCCTTCAAATACTGCAAAAGAGAGAGGTTGTGAGCGCAATGGCAGTTCACCGCAACCGGAGTCAGGCCTTTCACACATGCCTCCCATCTTTGTGAAACACTGAATGACTGCGTGGTTGTAAACGCCACCTGCCTCGTATAGGTGTATGCGTTGTGTATATATCGTAGAGTGAAAGAGGAGCTTTTCGTTCAGAACTTGTTGAATGTATATATACTAGAAGTAAAAAGGCTGGATTGTAGCTTCTTAAACAGCGTAATGAAGCTTGTGCAAAAGGTATATATGCCGCGTCGTGTAGTGTGCTTGCTGTTTAGCCAATTGGCACAAACACCATGTCCCTTTGTCTCCTTTGTTTGGTCGTTATACCTGCAATCATCGCAGTCAAGCGTGTAGTTTGCCGCATAAGGGCCCCCCATCTCAGTAATGAGTCGACAATCCAAAGTCCTTAGCAACCTCCCTGCCCATCGCCTTGATATTCTCCACAATCCACAGCTGCTTATTGCTAAACACCATGACAGCGCCCGGCAAGAAAGCAAAGTTCGCCGTCGTAATACCAACCCAAATCTTTCCAATCAGCGTGCCTTCAGGGTTCCAAATGTGAATGCCGTCTCCACATCCAGCCCAAACATTACCCTCGGTATCGGTGTGCAGACCGTCGGGAATGCCGTTGTCGGAGTAGGCAAATGTGCGACGGCCGGTTAGTCTCTTTGCGTCGTGCGTGATGTCGAATGCGTAGAGTGTGGCTGGTCGTGTGACGTTTAGACTGTAACCCGCGGCACCTGTGTCGGATACGTATAGTGTTTTGTAGTCAGGGCTGAATTCGAGGCCATTGGGTTCAACGAAGTCGTCTGCTACAACGGCAATTTGGCCTGTGGATGGACTGAACCGGTATACCTGCTTCGGCAGACTGGGCTCAGGACGGAATCCTTGGACATATGCGTAGTCTGGGTCAGTGAACCAGAGATCGCCTGTTACGGGGTGTTGACGGACGTCGTTGGGGGATGTGAAGTTTCGTCCAAGGAAGTTTGATAGGATGAGTTCGGATTCACCAGTCACGGGGTCGACGGAGACGAGACCTGCTGGGTTGACGAAATCACCCTGGTCGCAGTACAGTACTCGTGAAGGTGTTGAGCCGTTAGTTTGGGTGCCGGGTGGGTAGTACGATGTTGCGCCGTTGGCCTCGGCGACACCTGGTATCCGCGTTGAGTTGATGGAATAGTTGTCTGCGAGATCGATGACGGTAACGTTGATGGGGTTGTTGAGATCTCCGGCCCAGCTGCTCGTCACGTATAGCTTGTTCGTGTCTTTGTTGTAGACACCAGCCTCATGGAAAGCGTCCCAATCCAGACTTTCCAGTAGTCGCCCTGTTGCGCTCTCGCCGATCACAGATGCAAAGCTTTCATCGTATGCGAGGAGGTTGATGATATCTGGATTTGAAGCATTGGTAGTGACGATACTGCTCAGGTACGACGGATCCGTCGCATACGATAGAAGGTCCACTGGGATGATGCTCGACATGATGTTGGTGATGATATCGAAGATGAATACCTGCAAATCACCGCCGCCTGGCCTTCCATCTCCTATATACCTCTCCACTGATCGTCGCGCCGGACACCTCACGGTCCCATGTTTTTTTGCAACGTCACTCACCCGCCAAGTTGCCGATGCGATGCTCGTCCATAGTCGACGGAAATATGGTCGGTGAAATGCAGATCTTGGCTGTATGCTTGGCTCGGTTGCTTGACTCGAGAGGAGTGTCGTGTATATTGCCGCGGTGTTTGCTCCGGTGACTGCTGGTCGGCAACTCCTCTAAGTGCTGTATGCACTCCGCACGCATGTTCACTCCATAAGTTCGCAGAGTTGAGCAATCGCGCTCGCTTGTCAAAGCTTATTGTTGAGGTCGCGCAAGCCATACGCTATTGAAAGGCTGAGATCTTCGTGTTGAGGTTAGACCCGAGCTTTTTGGTGGATCGTCAAGATACGCGAACTATGACATCATCACGACCGCGATTGCACCATCAAATGCCGAACATCGAATCTCATGTAAAGTGGTATGTTGCTACCTAGGTATAACCGTGAACATCAACTCATCTCCACATTCCGACCTAACTATCGTGCATACCCGTGCTCTCCAAGCCGCATTTCAAGTGTACCTTGCTCGCTTCGCCGATCTATGGTCTAGCTCTCGCGCTTCATCTTCTTCTTCTTCTTCCTCCAACCGTACTTGCCCTTTCCACGCAGCCATCAGGAACGCTCCAACATCTTCATCGAAATAGCACCAATCGTCTGGTCGAACGAATTTTTCCATGTCGCAAGCTATGCCTGAGCCGTTCACCAATTGATCGTATTCTTTAGGCCGCTCATCCTCATCCATCTTCGTCAACTCAATCGCAGTCGCCTCGCTTAGTCGGTCGTAAAGCTTTGATAACTTCTCGTAGTACGGTGTTATAATTCCGGCGTCAAACCTCGTAGTCGAGTACGTATGTCGCAGTACTGGATGGCGAAGCTCAGTGCAGACGTTCATCTCGTAGAAGAGAGTCTTATGGTCGTCCCAATCTGGCAGGTCAAGACAAAACGTGGATGCCTCAAGAACGGTGTCTGGAACAGGAGATGGCGTAATACCCTCTGTGTTCAAAGGCATTACCCAGGTATGCTGATCTCCTACGCGTCGAAGCCGAGTGAGCAATTGGCAATCCGTCGGGCGAATCTCATCGTGCGCGTTCCAGTGTACGCTCTTAAGTTTCATGCCACGTAGGCTGGAGAGTCTCAGGTCATATGGATCTATCTCCTTGATATTACGCAGCAGGAACATCTCCCTCTTGACGAACGTGGTGTAAGGTAATAGATGGTATGCCTTGTTCCAGGCGATGAATGTTAGCATTCCTGTCGTATACGCGTCGTGCAGGACCATGTGTGTTAGAGACTGCGTCTGGCATTCGGTAATCACGACTTTCATCTTGCGCCCCTCAGGTCCATCTTTCTCATATACATCTTCTGACAATACCTCTCCGTCGCGGTATCGAATGGGGGCTTCTGCGTTGGTTTCATCTCGCACGTAACCTTCAAATTCTAGATATCGGGTCATAGCATCGACCTCTTGACCGACATATAGATAGATACAGTCGAAGCGAGGAAGCCCGGCGAAGAAGCAGTAGGCGAAATGGCCGCCAATCAGAGTGTTGCAACGAGCTTGTCGTGAGCGGAAGGCTTTTGTGTCCCGGAAGAACGGCTTTAGTGTAGCGTCGATGTTGAATGTTCCACTCAGGAGCTTCTCGTTGATGTTCTTGTTGATGGTCTTGCTTGTCAACATCAGAGCGATTGTCTCCAACGGGCCCAGCGAGGCCATTATAGCATCTTGGATAGGCGCAAATCGAGTACTGAGCAGATCGGCGAGCGTGACGCTGGTGGAGCTGGTGGAGGCGCCCATGGTGCGAAATGCAGTGTAGTTGAGTCTCGGTGGTATTCGGTGGAGGGAAAGAAGGGTGGAGTCTTGTCAAGGTTTGAATACTTACTAACTAGCCGGGCCGACGATATACAGTGAAACGCAAAGGTCTGCTACTATTACTCAACCGCACTGTGAAACTTGCGGAGGCATTGAGGCCTGTGATTCACTTTGACATGTATGCCCAAGGGAACATGACAGAACACAATCCAGTCAAGGGAAGTGAAGGACTGCATCCATATACTACATCCATTTCCTCATCGCCGTCTATATATAGTGACACAATACCAAACTAATCGCGCTGCCTGTAATTCTGAAGTTCCTTCTCCTTCGCGGCAGTCTGCATCTCCAAAAGCTCGGTTTGCTTGTGTACCTGCTCCAACTCTTGCGGCATCTTGAGTATGACGTCGTCCTTAGACGAAACTTGCTTCTCAGCTACAATGCGTTGCCGGTCGATCTCTTCGGCATTGGCCCTGGCATCAGATGTGGCTTGTCTCACCTCGTCGAGCTTGATGTTGAGTTTGCGTATGCGTTCTTCGGTGTCCTCTGTGCGCGTCTTAATCTCCTCGATCTGATTGCTATAAGACTGCAGCTCGATCTTGCAGTTATTAAGCTTTTCTGTGCACTCGTTGAGCTCTTTCGTACGCTCGATGAGGTCGCTGGTGCGCTGGCTGAGGTCGTTGGTGACCTGGCTGATGTCGTTGGTGACCTGGCTGAGGTCTTCGGTGCGCTGGTTGGCGACGGTAGCTCTGCGCGCTTCTCGTACATCCTCGATGTCCTTGTTCAACTCCTCGAGGTCCTCGTTCAACCTCTTCTCCTCGGCTTCTACTTTGGCCCTGGTCTTGCTCTCTTCCCGGAGTTCCGATTTCATGGTTCTGTATAGCATCAGTAATGATCAAATGACGATGTCCACTGCGGTGCTGCTTACTCCAGATCTCCTTCCATTCCGTTGAACTTCTCCAACAGCGCAGTCTTGTCTTCCAAAGTCCTATCGAGCAACCTTTGGCTGATGTTGCCATCACCGACGAAGAGCTCTCTTAGCTTGTCTTGGACGGCGTGCTGGATCTCGAGGACCTTGTCTTGCGGCTGATTTGGGGCTGCTAGACTGATGCGCTTCTCTAGCTGCGAAGCCAAAGCCGCCACCTCATCAGCTCGTTCAGGCTCCTCATTCACGGCGACTTGACTCTGCTTGCTCTTGATGTCGCTGAGCTGTTGTTCTAGGCCTTCCAAGCGACCTTGTTCTTGACTGAGCTCTTGCTCTTGCTTGAGGAGCTGGCTCTCGAACTCGCCTCTGCTGCCGAAGAGGTGTGCGGGCGTTGATTGGCCAGCGTCTGGTTTGTCGAGCGGCTCGAGGCTGCCAGCGGTGCGCTCTGGTGTCATTGTGGGAGAGGATGATGGTATGAAGATTTGAAAAGGGAAAATTGGTATCGTGCTATACGACCCTGGGTGAGAGGTAGGCTAAAGAGGCTAGAAGGGCGGAAGGATGGGAATGTGGGCAAGTGCTAACTACACGTATTACTACTGAATATCCGAAAATATCGAGTGAGCAGGGACATGTAGATGAGGAAGAAAATTCGAGTCGCGGCTTCCTGTTATCGTCGAGAGCTTGGCGAAACGACGCTAGCTCGTTCCAGGACGTTCTTTCTTGGACGGTGAGCGGTGAAAGTGAGAGTGAGCGCGGCATCGGGGAAGTACCGGCCGTGTCTATGAGAGCATGCTGTCTCACAACGCAGTGGGCCAGGTGTCGGGCACCCCGGTACATCCATATCGTGAGTGATGCAGGCGGCAGTAAAGTCTGAAAGATGAATGTAGAAGACGAAAGTGAAGTCTAGGATGTCAAAAGACGGTGTCTCCACCTGGTATACAAGCGACATCTGTACCTCTCAACTCGCAAACTTAACTAGTCCATCCTCGATCTGCACCTTTCCCTTGATTGCTGTCGCTCTTTGCTGCAGCGCTTTCACATCAGTATCCCTCTCGCCCTGCTCTACCGTTTCTTCCTCTAGTATCATGAACAATATCGGCAGCGTGCTATTCCTCCACACATGCTCAGTCCTCTGACTCGATTTCCAAGCCGTCGCAAGGAAAGTAACGAGAGCGAGGACCCACGTACACGCCGGCAACGTGATCCATATCCAAGTCACATGTATATGCACGATTGGCGAGTAAGCGTGTCCGACAGCTCCTTGCGTCCCGTTCACGTCGTATGGCGAGTCTCGCATGGTCTTTGACATGGCTCTTGCAGCTAGATCGAGGCCGCACGAGATGCGATTGTCGGGGTACTCGCACTCTGTGTAATTTCCATTCCAGAGCGCAAAGATGATCTCGTCAGGCTGAGACGAGTCTGGCATGTCATCGCTCGCGAAAGTGTTATCTAAACCGCCATGTTTTGCGTATACGCCGCTGAATGTGTCGATGAAGTAGAAAATGCTCGAGGCGGTCACAGCTTCGATTGTGAAGTTTTCGCCATTTACCCCGTACTCGGGCTCGACAGGCGCTTGAAGTTCACCCGCTGGGTGCCAAACATCTAGGCTGGGATCCAGGTACCATGTTTTGAGAATCTCCTCGCGATAGGGTGGTTCGGCAGATTGGTCGTAGTCGGACTTGATGCTTTTGATGCACGGCTGTAGCGTGCAGCTAGACGCGACATATTTCGGTTCGTCGCCCGTCCAACCCTTCCCGTTCATTGTGTCTTGAATGTCAAGGTCAAGGTATACAGATACCACGCTGCGAGGGGTCGGGTCCGATTTCCCACCACTCAGTGCTCTGATCATGAATATTTCACCTATTAGATAGCCCAAAGAGTGGGAATACGAAAGGGCATCGTCTAGGCCTGGCAGCGATAAGTTGCAATAGTGAAGAGGTGTCGTAAATCCGATTTCATCCTCGCTGTCATCCCCGCAAGTTCTACTTACTGTGGCGGTGATATCTTCGCAGGTTGTACACATGCCGATGCTGGCAGTCGGCCGCCATGTGCAATGTCCTGTGCTACAAACGTGACGTGGTTCCGCCCATGTATGACGCGAATGAGAGCTATGGAGAGCATTGAGCACGTTTGATCTCAATGCTGCATTCACGTAGCGATCTCCGTATTTATTCAGTACTGAAGCACCTTTTCTTGTAGCAGGCACTCACAGTTGTTGGTTACGTAGCCTTCGCTGTGATACACGGAAGTGTTGGCGACAAAGGCTAGTCCTGAGAGGTCGACGACATCCATCGTATAATACCCAACTAAGTTTTGTACAAAGGGATCGAAAGCAACACTTAGTATGATGCCAGTGGCTCCGAGTGTAGCAATGTATCTGTGAGGTCATCAGCGCATAGTCGACGATGGGGTGGTTGACTTACCGAGCCTTTAGCTTCCAGATCAGCTGCAAACTGCCAGTCAAACCTCTTGATGCCGCATCGAAAGCGTCTAGATCAGCCAGAGACCGCTCTCTGCTGCCGAACCACGTCCATTTCAGCTGACCAAGGCAGTTTGCAAGCGGAACAAGAAGACAAAGTCGAGCAAGCGTACCCAGCCAAGACACAACCGAGTTGACCGAGATGCCACTTTGACGACATACGATATCGGCGATTCCAGGCTCAGAGAAGCAGTGTGTACCGGCAGATGCCCACGAGGGTTGCGGTTTGTCGTTCAGCGACGATAGGAGAAGCACAATGGTAACAAGCGCGCCCGCGGACACAACAAGGCTGAGAATTTCCCACACCCACCAATCAGCAGATCTTAGGTTTTCGAGAACCCGGCGCCGTCTCTTCATTGTTACGGGAGTCTTTCCTGGCCTTAGTGCTGTCACTTCAGCGGCATCGATGGCTTCTCGGTCTTTCATTGTGTTGAGCGATAGGTTTCAGCGGGGTCGACAAAAGATGACGGATAACCAGCCCCGCAGAGAGACCTTTTGTAGCTGCAAAGCTATTGCTTGTTGCATACCACGGGACCTATTCGAGTGTGGCGCTTCTTCTGATTGGAGTTTGTAAGCCACATCGCTTCGCTTCTACACATCCGTACACTGCCAAGTCTGGGGGCCGGAAAGCCAACCAAGATTAGATACGCATAACAGTGGAGTCCAATAGAGGGTATGCGATTGTATGCGCTTGCGGCAAGGCGGTGCAACGGGCGGTGCCTGCTCTTTCGCCAGAGGCCTCGTGATCGACTGTGGCAAGACGGGAGTGACCACGCCGATAAAGTTGTGAACAATGCATTAGTGATGTATATACTTCTCCCCTCTTCTAATCCGACATAACAACAGAAGACCCATATTCTTGCGAACGCGTATGTATAAATCTTCATCCCGTCTTCATCTCCTTACTGAATCATTTCCATCCAGATTACCCTGATACATGCGCAAAACAAATCCAGGTATCTTCCCAACGTATCTACAGTCCTATCCTTATTACGCCAAAACCATCACGTTCTCCAAGAACATCTACCGCCTCGGCGCGATGCCCGCAGAGCTCAACGCCGACAGCGGGCCGCCTCCAGTGACAGGAGTCTGAGCACCCGTAACAGGCGTCGCAGGCGCAGGCGTAGGCGCGCGAGAAGGAACGTTACTCCTGTTGTGTGCCATGTGCGCCTTGACGAGATGACCCGCGCACAGGGCGCTGTTGAGCGACAACTCACCTGCGAGCACACCAGCGGCGATAACACGAGCGAGTTGCCTGGCATTGTCACCGGGCGATGTTGGGTGAGCGCCACGCACGCCGAGGAGGTCGAGCATGGCGGATTGGGGCTCGAGGATGGTTCCGCCGCCGATGGTGCCGACTTCGATGGAGGGCATGGAGACGGAGATTTGGAGGTTGCCGTTGACACTAGACATGTTAGTTGTGAACTTGATGTCGTCCATAAGGATATGACTTACTTGTGCATGATGGTGATGCAGTTAGCACTCTCAACGACCTGCGCGGGATCCTGTCCGGTAGCCAAGAAGATGGCAGCGACAATGTTCGCCGCGTGGGCGTTGAAACCACCCATAGCACCCGCCATAGCCGATCCGATAAAGTTCTTGGAAATGTTCATCTGTACGAGATCCTCAACCTCGCACTTCAGCACCGACTTGACAACGGAACCGGGGATCATAGCTTCGGCGACAACACCCTTGCCACGACCGTCGATCCAATTGATGGCAGCGGACTTCTTGTCTGTGCAGTAGTTACCCGACACAGTGACTACGCGCATATCTTCGAAACCGCAGTCGGTGGCCATGACGGTGAGAGCGTGCTCGACACCCTTGGAAATCATGTTCATTCCCATGGCGTCACCAGTCGTGGCCCTGAAACGGACGTAGATGTTGGTGCCTGCAATAGCAGACTTCATAGACTGGAGTCTGGCGAAGCGGGAGGTCGAGTTGAATGCGTCCTTCATCGTTCTCTGACCTTCTTCCGAGTCGAGCCAGATCTTCGCCGCACCAGCGCGTGTCAGGCTGTCGAATCCAATACAAGGTCCACGGGTCATACCGTCGCCAGTAACAACAGTAACAGCACCGCCGCCGGCGTTGATAGCCTTGGCACCTCGGGAAGTTGAAGCTACAAGCACACCCTCAGTGGTCGCCATGGGAAGGAAGTAGTTTTGGCCGTCAACAAGGATAGGTCCAGCAACACCGAGGGGGAGGGGAAGGTAACCAACGACGTTCTCACAGCATGCGCCGTGGACAAGATCGTAGTTGTAGTCCTTGTAGGGGAGGAGTGAGCGTTCGAGCAGAGTGGAGGTTTCGCGTGTAGCGTGAGTGCGTGAGACGAGACCACGGCGGATCTTGACAGCGCGGGTCTTGTCACCGAGGGTCTTCTCCAAAGCGTAACCGGGGATCTTGCCCTTGAGCGACATTTCGATAAGCTCTTCGTCAGTCATCTTAGGGGCTTGCTTTTCTTTGATCATCATCTCAAGGACTTCAGCAGCACGGTTTGGCTGTCTTTGCTGTTCTTCGGAAGGACCGATAGGGAGCACTGGTGTTTGCGGTACGAGCTGAGTAAGGGGCTGTAGACGAGTGTCCTCAGGGCCGGGTGTACGAGGCGGCGTGGGCATGTGCATTGAAGGCACGCGAGGGGTTCCAGGCACAGTGGGGGCTCCATCCTGAACTTCCGAAGGAGAGGCTGGGGCAAGCGGCTGATGGGGTTCCTTGATGGTCCAGCGGGCGGCGTTGAAGAGGTAGCCGTTCAGAACAACGCTCATGACAAGGGCGAGGACGATCCATTTGCTGAGGAAGGGGTCTTCCAAGCTCTTGAGTACTCCGTCGACAATGTGCGTGCTGATGTTGTTGCCAAACGCGAACTCGTTGTCGGTAATGGACGGCTCAGCGTAGTGGATAGATGGAAACTCAAGCTCATACTTGATAGGCATGAGAATGGTTACGATTGTAGAAGTAGCAGTGGCCTTGGCCTGCTCATAAATGTGATCCAGTCCACTTCCCGCAACCTTGAAAGGATCCAGCGGGGGAGTAGCACCGACGCCAGCAACGTGAGCGACCTTGCTGGGAGCAAGACCGAAGCGGAGGGTGACGACGTTGAGAACGTTGACCAGGATGAATCCAGCAACCATCAGGATCTTGAACTTGGGAACTGTAATCTTCTTTCCAAAGACAGTCGTCGTGTGGTTGGCGACTTGGACATCGCGTGCGTTGGGCCAGTCATTGTTGCGGGCGACGTTCTCAGCGACCTTGCCGTCGACACCGTCGTCCTCAAGAGCCCTACGGAGAGCCACATGGCGCTTGATCCGGTTAATCTCGAGCTTGATGGTGAGAATTGCGGTGTAGAAAGTCAAGAGCATGAGAGCGTCGAAGAAGAGGATCCATGCGCCGAGGAAGCAGAATTGTCTCAGACCGCCCTGGATTCCAGACATGGCACCGGCGACTAGAATCAGAATCTCGAAGAAGTAGTCGCGGACAATCTCGAACCCGGTCCTCTTGATGGCGAGCTGTACAGCTGACTGGATAGTAGAAGGCGCGCCCCGCTTCTCTTCAGCGGCCCGTCGGCCATCCAGAGACGCAGAGAGCACGGCCTTGGTGAGGACAATGGGCTTCTCGAAACCGATAATGACGACCAGGAATGGAAGGCCCTCGGAGAGCAGGATCAGGTTGATGGGAACGCCGAGGTAGGTCGTGACAGCCAGACCGAAGAGGAAAGCAAAGGCGGACTGCAGGAGGACTGCGGTGGCCAGCCAGAAGTTGGATCCCAGGCGCCTCATGGCGAGGAAGAGAGAGACAAAGGTCAGGTGCATGGCGAGGTACCCCAGGGCCATGATGACGATATCACCGGTATCCGCGTTCTACAGAAATTAGCCAAATCCACGTCAAATCGCCAAACAACATACCTTGAGAAGATCCACGAAAGACGTCCACGAGTCCAGAATCCAGTTACGCACACCACCAGGGGCACTGCCGTTCTTGGACGCCTTCATCATCCACTTCTTCTCCTCGCGTGTGCCTTCCTGCTCCGAGCCCTTCGACTGAGCCGCATCTTCGGGCGCAGAAATCTCCTGCATGGCCTGGAGAAAGTCGGCGGCTTCGGTATACGGGATGGAGAATGCGAGCGAAGTGTCGTGGGAGAAGGTGGAGAACGAGCTGGACGAGCTAGGGAGGAGCTCGGCGGAGACATTGCTGAGGACGGATTGCTGCGAGGGCGCCGAGTTGATGATGCTCGATTCGGGGAAGACGAGGGTGACGAGGGCGAGTTCCTGGGCGGTCTGTGATGTTAGCTAAATCCTTCAAACCCTACGATATGCTTACCTTATCCTTGTAGATGGCAGTCTTGGGCTCTTCAGCCTCCCACTGCCATGACGTCTCCTCTCCGATTCTGAGTCTCTTGCTGCCGGCGAGAAGAGTGGTGAAGTCGACGCGGCTCGAGGCTGCTTCCTCAATGCCACTCTCCAGCAGGCCCTTGTCGAGAACGCCCAGATATGAGTAGCTGGCCACAAAGGCAATGGTGACAATGGTGTGGATTGGATGCGTGCATGCCTTCTTCGCGACGGAGAGCAGGATGGGGTTGAAGTGGCGGTCGAACCAGGCGGGGCCCGTCTTCTTCTGCTCGCCCTGCCAGCGGCTGGTGAGGTATCCGAGCATCGTGAAGGTGATTCCACTGAAGTTGATTCAGTGGGCGTGTAGGCGTTTAGAGAGGCGCTCGCATGGGATGACGCGTATGGTGGCTGTGCGCGGCGTGTGGTGGGATTGGATGCGAGTCTCACGTGTGATGTGACTATATCAAAAGACCTTTTTGTGTGTCAGTACATTCACGCCGGATATTCGTTCTTGCGGCGTACCTGCTACCCTCCGTGATCGGTGTTGCTACCAGACGGTGTCAAGTGTCCGATTCTGCAATTAGGCACTGCAATACCAGAATCCCAATTGGCGTCGCGACACACCGTCAGACGCGCAGTATCAAAAAGTAAGGAAAGAAGGAGGGGGAGTAGAGGCGTGCTCACGACACTCGGTGCCGACCAGACTGAAATGTGGAGGAGGCCCCTTGCCGTCCCGCAACTTTTTTGTCCGCGCTAGACCCGACAGCCTCTCACCGCTTTGGCTCCCCGTCCGGCACGCGACTGTAATTCGACGATAGACGACAGATGGCAAAGGGTCCTGCAGGAATATGCGCCTAGCAATGTTCCACGTCTAGTCCGGTCGACAGCTCAGCGTACTTGGGTCAATGGAGAGTAGTTCGTCGTTCTTGTTGTTCGACAGTCGCTGAAGAAGTTGCGCCACGCGAAGGTTGCGCCACACGCCACGTACGCCACTGGATGACGCGCCAATCAATCCCAACAACCGGATGATCTTCA